ACTGCGCAAAGCAGGAAATGTGAGCGGGCGGCCACTGATTTTGGGAGCGACAAACCGAACTTCTGAACGCGGCAGTTGTCTGGGCGGACATTCACACAGCGCGGTACCGGGCGGACGTTTCGGCGGAGCGATGAGCGCTGCCGCTTCACTTTCGGGGCTCTCCCAGCCAAAACCTCTGCTCGGAGGCAGATAATCGTGTCTGTGGTGTTCCATCACTTTCCTCAATCCCTCCAAACGCGTCGACACTACCTCAAGCAGTTCCTGCCTCATTAGACGCTCTGTAACAGGGCTGGCCAAACTTACTCAATTTCGGAGCCGGATATGACAGTTTTCAGAAATGGCGGAGTCGCATTCATCTAAGTACAGGTTCTCCACGCAGCAGGTTGCTATATATTTAATTCATTTGTAAAAAGAGCGGATTATATTCATTTCTTGTTTCTGGCCTCACTAAGGGTCCAAGACAGTCGCCCGCGCTTCGCGAGCCACAGTTTGCATACGTCTACCATGTACTCTGAGCTACCAGTAGTGTCTTTATATCAGCCATAAATGAACAAATGAAAAAATAAATATAACCAGCAGGTGTAGGGTTTCTGTTGATCCTCCGTTATGCAATTGGAGATGGGATGCTTCGTGCTGTACACGGATGTGTGGAAGGTAGCGTGTCGGCAGGGGCGAGGCGCCGGGTCACGCAACAGAAAACTTGATAATGATCACGGGGGGCGGTTGCGGTCAGCAACCCGCGCGGCACCAGTTACCATTGTATTGCCACGGGGGGTGGCCATATTTATGTTAGCCTAGTTTCCGAAGGGAGAACCGGACATCGCGTCCTGAGTAATAACTTCGGAGTTGCTTTAGAGGTCATCTGTAATTTCTTGCCTCCAGCAGTACTAATATGGCGACTGTCCGAAGTCTAACCCATTTCAACAGTCGTGGCTTTTAGACAGTGGGAATATGCCAACAATACATTAGAAGTTTGTTCTTGGTGAGGTCTAAGCAATGTTCAGTGCTTAAGCCTGGCGACCAGTCTGCCTAGAACATGGTGGAGCTTCGTGCTCTTCACGTGGCCCTCCCTTTCCATATTTCCTTACAATTTTATTTACCCTCAGCGTATTCTTCTACACTTGAACGTTGAGGCATTACGCTCCTCCCGAAACGTCAGTTGCCATGTGCCAGGCTACATGGCCTCAGTCTCACAAGCTAGTGCTCTTGTTTTCCGCCATGAGGGCCTCAAGCCTCGCGTATTTTTTGTTCCTTTTCCGCAAGTAACCGAAAGCGATCGGGTTTGAGCAGTATCTTCTGTAATATGAGGGCTTCTAGTCCGGTACAAGTTCACCGACGTTTCGGAAGAACGTGCTGCCTCCGTGTTCTGGATTTGTCGCTTGTTTATTGCTAGTTACTTGCTCGACAGTACGTTCCTCCAAAACGTCTGTGAATTTGTCTGTAGGAGCCATCAGATTACAGCAAATCACCAAATTGCGTGATTCAAACAATAGATCACGTGATTGTTCAATTATTCGGTTGCAGTGCGGACTTCTCAGTCTTCCGTAACCATATCTGGTTGTCAGACCTTCATAATTAGGACACGTGACCTCATTTTGTTAGGGTGGACCCTCCATGCTTCCGGGGCGGAGCCCACAAGAAGTATTCCTTTAATAAGGGTTCCATTGTCTCAGAGCTTTCGGAATGAATGATTCGGCCGAGCGAACTGAAATCGATTTGACCTCTTTCAGCCTCGCCCGATCCATGCAGGGACCGTGTAACGGCGCTGTCGGTAGCTCAGGGTGCATAGTGAATAGTAAAGTGGGAAGGATGTGGAAGAAGCGGCCATGGTCTGAGTTTGGATAGGCCTGCTGTCCCAGAATGTTCATGAACGGACTGAGGAATATCACAAGGAATCTCATTCAGAATGGCCAGTGCACAAGCCGAGATTTGAACCCGTTACTTCAGGGATACGACGCAGTAGCAATAGTTACTTGACTGCGACTTCCGTTTGCTGTAGTTCTTATATGCGCCGTTGGTCCAGTTCTCAAGATAAATATAAAATTAATTTTGATTGTGGAGTACTATTAGCTACTATAATTTTGCCTGTGTTTTTGTATGGGTGTGAAACTTGGTCTCTGACAGTAAGGGAGGAACATTGTCTGAGGGTGTTGGGAATATTTGGATCGAAGAGAAATGAAGTGACAGGAGGTTGCAGAGAACTGCATAATGATGAGCTTCATAACTTGTGCTCTTCACCGAGTATATTTAGAATGATCAAGGAGAATATGATGGACAGGGCATGTAGCACGATTGGGGAGAAGAGGAATGCATATAAGATATTTGTAGGAATTCCAGAAGGAAGGAGACCATTAGGAAGACCAAAACATAGGCAATTGGATAATATTAAAATGGATGTTAGAGAAATAGGATGGAGTGGTACGGGAGAGTGAAGGGCTCTTTTGAACACGGTAATGAGCCTTTGGATTGCATAAAAAGCTAGGAAGTTCTTGAGTAGCTGTACAACTGGCGGCTTCTCAAGAATGCCTCAGCTTCATGAAGTTAGTACTGTAAGCTGAAATGCCTCACAATTGTCGTTCTTAACTGACGCGCGTGTGAAGAGTGGAGGCATACCTTCCTACTGAATTCAGAATACTGGCCTGTGCGCCCCTGCGCAGTTTCCTTCAGACTTCCCGCTTTACTTCTGTGCGCAAAGATTTACAGAAATCATAACGAGTTTAACCCTTCGAAGCTTGAAGGGTGACAGCCGTGTAGCTGCAGTTGTCAGTACAAGTGCCATAACTGAGGACTACTGGGCCCAACATAGATAGCTTTCCTTTTTTTTTGCCATTCGAAAGAAGTGAATAATCTCTCGAAGCAGGGAATTCATTTAAATGAGGTTCAGTCCGAACCTCACAGGGAACACATTGTCTCCGCTACAGGGACCAACCGGTTAATGCTATTTAGAACAACAGTCGCTGTTTGTTGTTAAAGCCATACGGGACACACAAATACACCGTGTGGACAGAATTAGTGTGCTTTAAGTGGCAAAACAATCCTGAAATGGAGAACGTGCATAGTATATACAGTAAGAGCTTTTTATAATGGAAGACACTGACACCTCCTTGTTCCTGTGGGAATGTACTCACCATTCCGTGGCTGCTGTAGTTAGACTCGCCCGCCGCGCAAAGAGACGCTCCAAGTCGCGTGCCTATTGTGTGACTGGGGGACGGAGGCGCCCTTGCCATGCATATATATCGCGTGATGTGGGCGGGGAACCAGCAGGAGAACGTCTGTCTCGCAACCGGCCACAATAATGCAGCGGTGCAGGCTTCTTTAACGACCCTCGGGCCGTATAGCGTCGATTGGTGGTGTGATTAGTGAATAATGTTTTGGAAGGGATGTGGAAGGAGGCGGTAGCGGCATAAGTTAAGGTACTGTCCCTGTGTTTGCCTGGAGGGACTGAGGAAAGCCAAGAAAGCTCAGTCAGGGTAGGCTATGGCCCCTGTCGAGATTCGAAATGGGCGTCTCCCGAATGCAAACTCAGAAGCCTTGCTGCATCAGACATTTGCTTGGAGTCGCGATATTTACAGTACTATTCATTAGTAAAGCTAAAACCAAATTCCTGGATGTCGACAGGAGGATAATATTAAAGTGAACCTGGATGAATACGTGGGTTAGTTACTCCGATGTATCAGGCCAGTCTGTTGCTCCCTCGGGATTTATCCCCTGCCAATACACACGATCGGCCGGCGACTCACCTCTGTGGTCTGGCTCCATTTTGTGACCACTTCCTCACTGCTGGGGCCGAGCGGGTGAGCATAGCGATAACGCTTTATTCGAATGTCTGCTGGGACACCGGTTCTACTGACTGAGGTTCTTCATTTGTTTGTCCCCAGGCAAATACTAGGGTAAGGCCTCGACTAGGCAACGGTCTCTTCCTTTCAGATGCTTCCCAGTTGATCATTCGCATACCATGCTACGTGTTGTGCTGACGGCATCTTGCAAACTTGCCAGGGTGTTGTGTATTCTCATCCTCAGACCGGCGGATCTGGGCCATACACGTGCCGTTACTTATTTATGGCCGATTTGACGACGCTGTAAGCGGCTCAGGCTATATCACGCCGATTGATTTAATAAATAGTAAACTGGAAACAAGCGGTTGTGGGTCTGAGTTGAGCTGACCCGGAATTTGTCTGGAGGGACTGAGGAGAAGCACGACTAACCTCAGGATAGTCGACGCTGTCCGTACCTGAACTATAGACTTATAGCGTCGGATGACCGATTAATGTGCAAGGAAGTGGTCGTCGCCTATTCAAGGAACTTTCGGAATTTGCCTGGAGGGACTAAGAAATTCAGTGAGAATAATAGGTGTTCCGTCCGAGATTCGAACCGAACACCTCTGGAATAAAAGTCTGGAGCATTAGCTGTAGATCAGCCTGTTTGGCTAGTCGGTGCGCGAAGCTGGGCCCTCTGAATACAAGCCAGAAGGGTCGCCGCCTGCGCTAGCTCGATCGGCCGTTGTTGCAGTTACTGCAGTCGCTACCAACCAGTACGGGTCGCACCGCACCTCGACAACTGTGATAGATTGTTCTGGGGCGAGAATTGCATTGGGCCGGATAAAGCCTTATCGACCGCAATTTGGAGCACTGTCTGTGAATCACACGTCAGCGTAACAAGGCCGGTGGCAGCATTTTGCCTTTGTGTATGAAGTATGGTAGTTAAATGATCGGGCTGATTAGGAACTGTACAGCGCCAGAAGAGAGAAGATTGATAGCGAGCGTGAGACAAGGACAGATGCTACAAATTGCAGAATTTATAGAGTAATACACAAGAAACTGGAGAGAATATGTTGGCGGGAAGAGCTGTGACAGGATTTTAAAAAATATATCAAAATAACCTCTGAAAGGAAAAATAAATTTGGGAAGACCTGAAACGGAGTAAGAGTTTTGTTTCATGACTTGTATGTCAGGGCTGAGTATGCAGATGCTGGAGAGGATGATGATTAAAAGACAGGAACATAGCCCAAACATTACAATATATTTGCTCAGTTAACTTCTTGTATTGACGGTGGATATTGAGAGTTAAGGCAGGAAGATAACCCAAACATTACAATATATTTGCTCAGTTAACTTCTTGTATTGACAGTGAATATTGAGAGTTAAGACGGGAACATAACCAAAACATTACAAAATGATTGCTCAGTTAACTTTTGTATTGGCAGTGAATATTGAGAGTTAAGGCGGGAACATAACCAAAACATTACAAAATGATTGCTCAGTTAACTTTTGTATTGGCAGTGAATATTGAGAGTTAAGGCAGGAACATAACCAAAACATTACAAAATGATTGCTCAGTTAACTTTTGTATTGGCAGTGAATATTGAGAGTTAAGACGGGAACATAACCAAAACATTACAAAATGATTGCTCAGTTAACTTTTGTATTGGCAGTGAATATTGAGAGTTAAGGCAGGAACATAACCAAAACATAACAAAATGATTGCTCAGTTAACTTCTTGTATTGGCAGCGAGCGAAGACAGTACAGCCAACATCTTGTCCAGACACAGTTGTGACGCACACCCCAACTCATTGCTCTGTCGCAAATGCAGAGTGCTGCAGTTCCGGCAGAGGTATCACGGCGACCTGGCAGGTGTTTGTGTTGAGGCATGGGTCGAAGCAGCACTTGTCAGTTTCAGCACAGTTGTAGTCGAACGTGCAGGGCACGGCATCGATTCTTGGTGTGTACTGGGCGCACATCTCACGGCTAATCTGCGGACATATGCCGGGCTTACCCCCTGAAACATAGCGCGACGAATTAACACGTGTGTGAGTGCGCGCATGTCTGTGAGCTCTCAACTTGGTATGAATATTACGTCATGTAATTTCACTCCACCTGACTTCAAGGTAGAGCCCTCAACATATCTGCATCACATTCCCGAGATCCTAGGTTCAAAGTTCTGCTCGACGACCGACTATACTTGCAGGTATCTTGTGATTTTCCTCAGTCCCTTACGGGACATGTGGCGATAATATCCTAAAGTAGGCCACTGCTTCTTTCAGCACCCTTTCCCTCATTCACAAATCGCCTTGAAATCAGCCGCTATGTAGTGTGAGAGGGTCCTTTAGAAGCTAACAGTCGCTCAGCTACACAAGAAATGCCCATCATTTTATGGAACCCAAACGTTCATTACCATGTGAGCCAGATGAATCCAGTCCATAACACTCCACCCATTATCTTGAAGATTCATTTTAATGTTACCCTAGAATCTATGTTTAGATTTTCTTGGTGGTCACTTTCCCACGAGATTTCCTTACCGACGCCGTGTATACGCCGCACTGCTACCATGCATGCTGAATGACTCACCCATCCCATCCTCCTTTATTTTATTATGTATGTACTGTAATATTTTATGAAGAGAAGGCCTACAAATTATGAAGCACATCATTATGTACTTTTCTCAATCCTCCTACTTCCTTCCCCTTACTCATGGAGCTGAGTCCTTGAGGAGAGTCAGATCTGCAGCTACTCAAGTATTGCCCGGAAGTTTATGGAACCCGAAGGTTCATTACCGTGTTCACAAGAGCCCTCCACCGGTCCCTATCCTGAGCCAGATCAATCCAATCCATACCATCCCATCCCAGCTCTCCAAAATCCATTTTAATATTGTCCACCCACCTACGCCTTGGTTTTCCCAGTGGTCTCTTTCCTTCTGGCTTCCCCACCAATATCCAATACGCATTCCTCGTCTCCCATATTCGTGCTACATGCCCTGCCCACCTCATCCTCCTTGCCTTGAACATTCTAATTATACTTTGAGAAGAGTACAAGTTATGAAGCTCCTCATTATGCAGTTTTCTCCAACCTCCTGTCACATCATCCCTCTTCGGTACAAATAACTTCCTTCCCCTTAGGCCAAAGAATTCTCAGCACCCTGTTTTCAAACACCCTCGGTCGTTAAGTAAGCCGTAAATAAACACCTGAGAATATGATATCATGGCGGCCTCGATACACACAAGTTTTATGGTGAAACCACTGAGGTTCTGCTGCAGGGCGCCTTCTGGGAAGCATGCAGAAGACTCTGGTGCTAGAATGCTACGAAACAGTGTGAATACAGGCTTGCCATCAACTTCCAAGCCCAGACTCCAGCTCAGTTGAGGAATTCGTAACAGTTAAGTAATAAATTTTGTCGCAGTTGGCCCCTTGCCCATTGCTAAGAGCCCTTCTCCAGTCGCTGTGAACACATTGCCGATTGGTAACAACAGTTTGCCCATTGCAAAGCGCCCTTTTCCAGTCGCTACTAATAGTTTGGCGATTGGTAGCAACAGTTTGTCCAGTGTTAAGAGCTCTTTGCCAGTTGCTAACAACAGTTTGCCCATTGCAAAGCGCCCCTGGACAGTAGCTAAGAAGTCTGGGCACCGCTTACAGCGCAGGCGCAACTCACCCATGGGGCAACAGTGGAACTGCCTCACAGGGCCCGGCGTGTGGCACCAGTATCTGCAGGTGGCGGCAGGTAGCGTCGCTTGTGGTGCCGGTTCCTGGAAAGGAACTTGAACTTCGACGGGATATTGCAGCTGAAATGGGTACTGGCTTTGAAATGGATAGTGTCCCTGTGTGGGATATTGGCCTTGAATGGGAAATTGTCCCAGGAATGGGAATTGGTTTAGGAACTGGATTTGTTCCAGTTGTCCGCGAACTCCGGTGCACGAAATTAGCGCCGTGAAGGCCAGCAATTTGGTTGCAGGAATCATCTTGACACCTGTACAGAATTTGCCAACATTGGTACAGTGTTCACTGTGGTCAGCTGTAACAGGTGTTGCGTCATGAAGAGTTCAGGTAGCAAGTCCCCCACGTCACGTTATGTACATTCTTGTTATCCGCTAATAAGAATCGATTCCCTTGTAACATACTTACGCAAGTTATCTTATAGGTCACGCGGACTCTTAAGACAAATTCTGTTCCTACAGTTTACAACTTATTGAGAATTGTTTCTTCTCGAAGTTTGCGCCATTCGTCTCCAGACTCGTTCACTCTCGTGTTGGAAATGTCAGTGCATCTTGAGCAGGTTGGCTTAGAGGTAACGTTTCTGACATATGTACATTCCGGAGGTGCTGGGTTCGAATCTCAGCCACAACACCGGCTGTCCTGATTATTTTAATGATTTTCATCAGTGCCTGCAGGCAAATACCAGGATAGTACCTCCATAAGGTCATAACCCATCACCTTCCAAATAATTTCCATACTGTGTGTATTCCGGCTGCTGACGCCGGCACGAAGTAGCACAAGAGTAAATATGGGAACATTTCGCGAGGAGAGGGGAATGAGGTAGCGGTCTCCTGCAGCGACGGACGCGGAGAGCGTCATGACGTCAGGACGTCGGGAGACGCTAGTGAGAAGCAGGCACAAGCACGGCTCGCGGGCCCCTGACCTGGCCTGGGGGCGCTTTCTTTGTTTCGTTTTTTTTCTCACCTTCCAAAAGGAAGCCTGGAAAATTGGTTTGTCGCTAAGAAGTAAAAAAAAAGGGGTTAAATAAAAAAATGTTTTCGTAAGAAGCCACTGTCAACAGCCGGGGCAGTTTATATGCAAACTCGACTTAATTAAAAAACAACATCCAAAATCTTGGGTTCGATAACCAGTTTTATTTCCACTAGAAAGGCGGTTCCACATCAGACAATCTGTACGAAGGCCAGATCTTCACTCAGCCTAAGTTTTTCGTTGCTCCGTAACAACCGGCTGGGCAGTTCCTCTACTTCATATTCTGGAGGTCTCAGGTTCATGGCTCGGTTCGGAAACAGCCTTTTCAATTTATTATTCACTTATTACCCCTACATTCGACGCTATATAGCCTGATATATTTAAAATGTTAAATAAATACAAAATTAATATTTTCAAATTTTTCGATGCGGGGTTCGAATCCCGCTGCGATTTGCGTTGTGTTGTACAGTGTATGTAGGCGCCTTGGTATGTACCAGACTGCACGAGGTCACCTAGAAAGTTGTCTCAAGCAGTAGGGCTTCAGTCATATTCTGGAGGTGCCTAGTTTGAATCCCGGCCAGGACGCCGACTGACAGCCTTTCCGTGGTTTTATGCAGAATTTTCAAGGAAATGCGGGTATAGCATCTGAAATAGGCCAATTCCGGTTCCTTGCCAGTACACACAACGTCGCATGTCGTAGACAGTAATGTTGGTATTAATCGCCGCGAGTAGCTCGGATCTCTCGTAAAGCGGTTCCTTACTTGCATGAGTAAGACTACTACAGCATGTGGTGTCAGAAACAGTAACACTACAGCGGGGGTTGTGAAGAGTTATATCATCTGGAATATAACGCCATGGAGTCCGATTTGATTTAAAAGACGTTTCGGAGGACATGTTGCGTTTCTTTTATGGTCGAAGAATAAGCCAAGGAAGAAGCCGGCATAAAGCAAGTAACAAACAGAGCTTCAACGGCCTACACGGCGTCATGTCTCAGAAGACAGAGCTCTTCACTAGTTCATATCTACATGAACTCGACATAGTCACTTCCGTATTCTAACAAATTTATACTTACAGCCTCTGTATTTTGGTGATTTATGTGTCACCTGGTGATCACCGGTTACATTTGAAACATGTAGTGTGTGATAACGAATAGAAAAATAAAAGCCTTTTTAAATGTAAGTTCTTGCGACTTATGGCAGCCAACCCCAGCATTAGCACGCAGGCGTACACTAACATAGAAGTTGCGTGAAGGAGTGCGTACCTCGTGTCCTGTGCTGCTCGCAGCCTCGCCTCGAATGGACGCCGAACTGCGGAAACGCTAGTGTATAGTGAAAGGAATACACGCGAGCTCGTAGTGGGGGGACGTCCAGAAACGGCGGGCGTCTTCACCAACAGTGTGGGGATGAACCGCGGTTCGAGTCTCAGCATAGTCAGCAGCTCTGCTCCACAGCGTCCACACTGACTCCGGTGTCCACCCAATGTTTGTTTCCCCAGGGCTAAAGCGGTGTGAGATAATATCAGCGGTGAATATGTAGACAGTGATCTTCAGTAATCTTCATATTCACAGCCGTCAGATTTTGCATTAATTAGAAGACCGGGCGGGCCCGCGGGCCCGGTAACCCGCAGTTTTCTATAACCATGGCTTTTGAAGAACGCAACCCCCGCATTAGGCTAGGCATTGCTACGATTGACGCCTTCAGTGTCCGAACATTATCAGCTGAAGACACAACTTGTTTGGCAACTGAAGGCTGTTGCTCTGCAGATAAGCCTTGACCCGTGCTTATCAGTGGACGCCACGTGCAAGGACCTTGATCCTCAAATGTAGCGCACTTTCAGTGTGTATCCATGGCAACCATTTCAAGGTGAACAGAGGGAGAGGACAGTGGAGGGGGAGAGTAGTCAGGTGGGCCATTATCGTGTCCAGCGGTAGGATGGCAGGTTAGTGATAATTGGAAAGAATTTGGAAGAAAGCGATTGTGTCCTAAATCACTGTTCCGGCATATTGCCTGAAAGGGTTGCCGGTTTTGCTGACTTGCTCGAAGACATCTTAACAGCCTCTGATGTTTTGTTCATTCGACAAAGACCGACATGCATCATTTGTACATTTCTAGCGTTCGTCGAAATGTTGATTTATACAAGTGCGTTATCGTTCCCGTCGTGTTATCGACAGACGGAGACCGCGCCATTTTATGTCCACATAAAGACCTAAAATGGTTGTCCTACAATTTTCTTTTCAAAAAGGGGAAAATTTTACATTATACTAGATCACGTTTATCAGCTGAGAAGACATTTGTCAGTACAGAACTAACATGACTCAGTTCACGATAGAGCGGTTATTGTATTGAAGATAGTCGCAGCTTTTCGACTCTTATCAGCAGTCCTTACATTCACACGCAGCTGAAATATAGTCCTCAACGTCACACACACGCTATTGGCTCAGCGCTCGGCGTTGCTGTCTGCAGTTCATCTCGTAGCTTCCACGACCTCCTTACGTTATTTTCAGCATTGTAAGGCGATGAAGTTTACAATCTTCTGGTATTTGACGCCGTCTTTTCTGCTAAAGCGTCACTAACTTTTCAAAGGAATCTTCTGCTTCAATCTTCAGGGTACAAAACCGGAAGATAAACCTTCATCTCCTTTGAGACAGATCTTCATTCTTCTTTAGTATTTGTCTTTCGTCTCCATCTCTTCTCTTTCTGTATCTTCTGGTCATCCTAATCAGGGCCTGTCCTTGCTTGGCTAGTTCAGATTCACCGAGCAGTCAGCCAATGGGGACGGTGTCACGGTGCGTGTGGCTCCTCCTGCTCTTGCTGCACACTGGCGGTGTCTCTCCCCTCACAGACGGGATACTCATGAAGCCCAACAGGCAAAGTATCCAGCATTTCATGTCGACTTTACTTTAGACCTCTAGTATGTCTAGAACATCTCCGAAGGCACGTCACGCCTCTAGTAGGCAGCCCTGTGTTTTCGCGAGACTTCCGGTGTGGCGTCGTGGTACCTGCAAGAGCTAACGGCTTTCTAACTATGACGCGACTTCGAAGATGTTTTAGACTGACAATACCAAAGTGACGCGTGTCTTATTTTGGTTAAAGAAACGCATTGTTTCGGAAGCTAGTTCTGCTTCTGTCATCAGGTAGAAGTATAATACGTTTCTGTTGGGTGCACTAGATGGGATTAATCTGTGCTCCCGGACAAGGGCCCTAACAATTTTTCAGTAAGTGAGCAGTTTATGCTACTGCGCAACAAGGAGCTGTGTGGTGAATGCAGTGAAATATGCTAGGAGTGTGGGTAGGATGGGGGAGACAAGAAATGCGGGTAGAATTTTGGTTGAGAAGCTTCTCAAAAGACGTATATGTAAGCAGGCAGTAATATAACTTGTCATCGAGTTTCGTCATGGACATCGCGCATTGTCTTGAATTCTGTGAGAACACTACGTTTCGGAAACTGGATCTGGTTCCTTCGTCAGGTGAAAAGTTAAAGAGATGGATCTGAGTAGGCTCCATCCACCTTTTCGCCTGAGGAAGGAAGCAGATTCAGCTGCGTTACTTTAGAATGGACAAAGCCCAGAAACTCCGTAATCCCAGAACCCCATATAAATGACGTATCTCTTGTCTGTTCCTGAAGCTCGCACTGGCGACGCCACTATCTGAGAGACATCACATCTGGGCGCCTCGGCGACGCGCAAGGGGCGATGGTCTGGTGGGAATCACAGAGAAGTGAACACAGAGTTGACACATTCCTGGCAGACTTGGACATCCCTAGGCTTGTATCGACATCACGTGATCTCAACATGGCGAACTGCGAACTGAACATTAGCGCCTTCTTCGTCATCTTGGAGGATACCGACGACGACGACGACGAAGTTCTGACGAGGTTCCAGGCCGGAGTACGGCGTTGCTGGTTGCGCGCGCACTTCGTCGTGGTGTTCCCCGAGCGACGGAATCCCGCGGCACATGACCACAAATGTGAGCTGAAGGCGACTCATGTATCAGATCTGATTTGTGTCATCGAGCAGGTTGTCATAGCGGTAAAGGTCCAGTCATATTCAGGAAGTGATCGGTTCGGCCAGAACACATTCAATTCTATTTTCCTGGTTTTCTCAGGCCCTCCAGCCAAATAGCACGATGTTCCTGCCGTATTGCCTGCAGTTCATCAGTCACCCTACCATTCGACGTTGTGCACTGCGAGGGTGGTAATGTAGCTCGCTTTGTGTCCTACACCGAGCCCTTCCTTCCAGTCCGGCACTCACAGATCGCCCGATCGTCGGACGCTCCACATATCCAAGCTACTCATAACGTCATTAAAAAGGTAATGTTGTTTCATGCTTAACTAAGCACCACGCCGCTAGGACGGATGGAGGGGCGGAGGCATCGACCCACGCATTCTTAACCTAGGCAGTAGGTGGAGGTGAATATTGAGCTTCACGCCCTGAACGCTTTGTCTCCGACGAAGTCGCCTCCGAAACCACTGGATAGGAGTTTGGGTGAGTCTCGGAACCGGTCTGGTCGCTATGGAGAAGAAAAAAATGCCTGCCCCTTCCGGAAAAGGAACCCAGATTCCTCGGCCGTCCGCAGTTTCGGTGTTACCATAGCAACAGACGTTTCACATTAATGTAAGTTGTGTAGCACGTCACGAACGCGCAATCAGCCCTTTTGTTTCAGTGTATTGCGTCTATTTTGTGAATATTTATAACATTTAACGTGGGTATGAGGGCTGAAGTATATCATATACGGGAGACTGTTTGCACTTATTTGTGCGTGATATTCATGGGCGATTGCGTTAAATGCCGGCCTCGAAATATCACGATAGCTTACAGGACTGGAACGAAGACTGCGGAAAGTGGGCGAAGTCAAGAGCACTGCAACTTACTTAACATGATGAGACTTGCCACTGAATTCTGAACTAAGAATCATGGGAAATTTATCTGGAGGGCCTGAGGAAAAGAACGAAGCGTCTGTCTCGGAATAGCTGTTTTCCAAACTGTTTTCAGACCTGCAGTCTCCTTCATGCGGAAAGCTACCCACTTCGCTTGGTGTGAATATCATTCAGTGAAAGCTTTCGTCATTTGCCTGGCCATGAATCCATGTGTTGCAGATGTTCAGGAGGTGTTCCAGCAGTTCTGGCTGGCAGAGGTGGCGGATGTCGTCGCGATATTGCCATATCGGGACATTGTGCGCGTCTTCACCATCTTCCCATACCGGGAGAGCTGCCATCTGCCAGGACCTCCCGTACTGGTGGATCAGCTGCCCTGGGTGAGACTTGAACTTTACTGACACGTGGCAACGGCTCATATTGCCTTACCACGTGACGTAGCCACAGTTCAGGTATTTTGTTCCCCGGTTCCAATCGCAGCTGCCTGATTATGTGGGATTTGTGGTTGTCATAGTGGCACTGGGGCTGGTTTTCTCCAAGTATTCAAGTGTTTCCTGTCAATTTTCATTGGACTAACTGCTCCGCATTCATGCCAACTGAGGCTGGTACGACAGGCCCAGAAGTGGGCGACGTACCAAGTGAACTCAGCCTCACCCCACCCCGCAAATTAAAAGAAAAAGACATATGTCTCATCTCACCACAGCCACTGGTCGCAGATGGAGGAGATCGTCAAATGAAAATAAAATCTACTGACAGTTATTGAATTAGCGTTTGAGAATGAGTGTTCGTCCTCTGGGTTGTGTGGTGGATGGGCGTCTAACAACCTCTCACCTTAAGAGCTACAGTTCTGCCGCGATTTTATGACTGCCTCAGAGCCATACTGGCCCACATTCATGTGTTCGCAAGGCATGTCTTCAGACTGTGCTTGGTGTAATAACATTTCATGTTTTGTATGTGAAAGTGCGTTGTGTGTAGGATTTTGATTCTTTCATGCCTTTAAGGATTATGAGAAAGTTTGTGTCTTGCAGGTAGATGGTGCGTTCCCCTCAGTGGGGCTGTTCCCTGACATCAAGGTCACTTCCCTACATGGCTGCTCCCTGCGGTTCACAACAATAGACCTCGCACCTGACGTCATTCTGAATCTGTCATTGAGTGACAAGTTTGAGCGCTGGAAAGACAGGTAAGGCAAGCACAAGTCAGAGTTTGACAGCCAGTATACAGTACAAAGCCTTTCTCTAACATAACAGTTCATACATTACTGAGACAGGTTTCGAATGAAGCCATGTTGAGTGCCTCCCTCGTCACTACGGAATGACATGCCCGCAGGTTGTGGATGCAACAGATGGTCTCCACATATTGCTGGTTGCTGTGAATATAATGAGTTATTAGTGCAGACAGCTGACATGGGGTGGTCCTTTAGATTTGGGGCTGGATGTAGGGCTAACAACTCCTTGCCATACAAAATGTTACACAGGGCCTCATGCTTTGGAATGGCCTAAGGAACAGAAGTAGATGAAGGGGGATGGGATGGACAGGGCATGTAGAATGCGTGGAAGAGGAGAAGCGTGCATATAAATTTTTTGTTGGAAAACATGAAACAAAGAGGCCACCATCTTGTATGTAGATGGGAGGTAACAGATGTACGTTACACGAAGCTTCAGTGGGGACTGTGTACTGTGATGTGTGCTCAGGCAGTCAGTTTCATTAATGTGGAGCTACTGTCATGCGCGTTTCAGAGACTGTCTTCCCGTCATCAGGGGCTCAAGTAATGAGTGTGCTGTTCACACACTGTTCGTGTGAAGAGCACGTGGGGAACAGTCAGTCAGTTGCTTGTCACTGGCCCCTCCTTCCAGAGTTTTCTACTGCTCTGATGAGAGCTTTTGTTATATTATAGTGGATGCTAAAGAAAGAGGCTGGGAATGTGTGGTCTGGATTCATCTGGCTCAGGAGATGGATCAGTGGTGGTTTCCTGTGAGCATGGTAGTGATCTCTCCTGTTCCATAAAATGCTGAGAATTTCTTGAGTGGCTCAGTTGCTGTTAGTTTCTCAAATAGGACTCAGATCAGTGGCGGTTTCCTGTGAGCATGGTAGTGATCCCTCCAGTTCCATAAAATGCTGAGAATTTCTTGAGTGGCTCAGTTAGTGTCAGCTCCATGGAGTTACTTTGAACTGTAAGGGCTGTAGCTTGCGAGCAGTGGGAGAAGGGGACTGGTGCGACTCGGGCGTTATGCCTGCTGAATGTGGGTGCCTGAGCTGATTCCTTGCTCTCCTTGTTGCAGTGTGGATGGGATTGAGGTGCGTCTGGTGAACACGTTGGCTAGCACGATGAACTTCACTGTGATCATCTCATTGCCCCATGATGGCTACTACTGGGGTTGGGTGCACTACAATGGCTCCGTCAGCGGCATGATAGGTGCGTCTCAGTTTCACTGACTACACATCTACACAGACACCCCTCGTGGCACAAACTTAGTCCCTTGTCACATTGACATGACAAGTCCTCAGGCACTCCTTGCCAGATATAATTAGAATGAGAAATCAAAGATGGTAAGATGGGTAGGACATGTAACACACATTGGAACTAAGAGAAGTGTACACAGAGTTCTGAGAGGAATACCAGAAGCAAAGAGACCACCAGCAAGACCTGGTTGTAGATGGGATGTTAATATTAAAATAAGAAGTAGGATATTAGGGTGTTAAGTGGATTCGTCTGGCTCAGAGTATGGACCAGTGACAACCCTGCTGAACAGCTGAACACAGCTATGAACCTTCAGATTCTCTGAAATGCTGGAAATTTCTTGAGTCGCTGATAAACTGTTGGCTTCTCAGGAAGGAGTCAGCTCCATGCAGTTATCTAGTCAACAGGAGGATTATCAAAATGTAATTTAGAGCATCATATTGATTTTAAAACTTATTAACATGATTAAAAGCTTCCAATTAAGAAAAAATGTTTTAGACTTGAAGTTCCTTGCAGTAGCGACTGAACAGATGGCTGTCTTCTGGGTTGTACCATTCTGTTCACACAGCTGCAGTGGTTTGCTGTTAGCTGCAGTTCTTGTCCTCCGTTTCTTGGATCACGGAACACATTTTGCCACAAACCTATATCTTTTGTCATGAAGTTTGAGACAGTAGGTTCCTCTGAAATGTTGGTACCTATTTACCAAACAGGCCAGAATATAAAATTTGCCTAAAATGATAGTAATGTCTCACACAACTGAATCAGACCCCATTGACTTGTCCGCAAGTCACCATGCAGGACTGTTGTCTCTTGCAGCTGACATAAGCAACAATTTGAGTGACGTAGGGTTTGGCCACGTGACCCACAGTACTCAGGATATAGGGTTCCTGGAATATTCGGCAAGTTTCGCAAGGGACTGCTATGGATGGGGTGTGCCCCTTGGGGCGGGCCGGCAGCCCCCTCCCTGGGTGGCATTCACAACGGAGTTCAGCTTGCTCACATGGTGTCTCATCGTAGCTGCACTCCTTCTGGCAGCGGTCGTCCTCTGGATCCTCCCAAGGGTGCTGCCTCGATGGGAACTTCAAGAGAAGCCACTGTGGGGCATGCCGAGGTAACAGTGTGTTATACAGTGTCAGCTAGAAATTCACAGCAGCATGGTGACTGTGTGAGTGACTTGCTTACACAGGGTCTGGCATGTTGTGTGAAGTTCGTGGAGCAAAGATATGAGATACAGGATGATGACACATTGCAGGTAATTTTAGTTTATGGGTGAGGTATTGGCTGCACTGGACATGTCACTGGAGGGTTTCTGTTAAGAGAGTGTGTTATCACAGATACATGGTAAAAGGTAAAGTTATCTCTGTGCTTGATAAACTAAGCACCATATCATCAAGGCACATGGGGGAGTGGATGTATAGAGCCCCATTTTCTTGACCATGGCACTAGATGGAGGTGAGTGGTCAGCTTCACGACCCGGCTGCTTTACCCCCAGTACCCATTGGATAGGAGGTTGGGTGGACCCCAAATCTAATCTGGATGACCCGGAGAAGAGAAAATGCTTAACCCTACCGGGACTTGAACTCTGACCTCTCAGTCCTCCAGCCTGTAGCTAGTCGCTATACTGACTGTGTTATCCCGGCTCCTTAGCATAGATACATCTATTTTTTTTAACAATTTTTGCTCTTTCTGTGAAGTAAATATCATTCTGTTGCAATATACACACATGAAATGCTGACACTTATTATTCTGTCATGTGTGTTAATGGAAATGGAAGGTACTGCATTGTTAACCTCTCCCAAAAGAAGTTTGTAGCATATTTCCAGAGAGAGCAGCACCATGCAGTGTAATCACATGTAGTATCTTTGTTTAAATGTAGCTGTTTTCTGTAAGTTTTCAAGTTCATAATGTTCATATTCGGTGGAATCATGGGTTCAGAGTGTCTGTTGTGGACTACAATACTTAGGAGCATATCACAGTGAACTAAGTATAGGGTATGGTGTTGATAACTGCAACATTTTCCCCTTGAAATTTGAATGGGGTTTGTGAGAAATATTCCATCACTGAATAGAATGTAATGTACAGTACAAGAGTAATGCTAATTTAGAGTTACTGGGTGCAGTATCTTTCGTAGTTCCAGCACTGGGGTCATGGATTCAGTTCCTTCTACTTGTTGTGTTACTGTATGTGTGTAGATGCCTGGCAGTTGTCGACTCCCTGTGCAGACTGTCTTATGAAATATCTAAGAACTCGCTATTTCAGAAACATTTCTGTATTACAACAGTGAAGATGGAGATTGACATACTTATGTCTATGCAGAATGTTGCGGATGTTCTCACACTGGTTGACGCGCATGTAAAGAACTGTATGTGTGTACTGGAGCTCGGCAATGCACCTAAGCTTTCAGTTGGTGCATGTCCCTCTGTTCCAGCTCTGTGATGCACTATGCATGCGGTACGCTGATCATGGCCCCCGTGTGGATGAAACCTCGCTCACAGCCAGTGCGAATATTTGCAGCGTTCTGGCTGCTGTATTGTATTGTTGTGAGTGTTGCATATCAGGTGGGTACAAACCATGGTTTGCTAACGAAATGGGGGCAGTTTGTAAGCTCTTGAATTGTTATAAGACATATCACTTTCTATCATATAGTGAAGTCATGTTTGCCATTTGATCACAGTATGATGTCTTGTTGCCATGATAGGCCCACTAATGATATGGCCCAGAGGCAGGAAACTAGAAGACTCTGTAGATGAAGGGTTCTGAGTATGTGAATTGGCTTGCCCAGGCGCAGTTTTATTTATTTATGGTCCATTTAATGATGCTGTCAGTAGCTCAGGTGATATAGTGTCAAACCATAGGGCAAGTAGTGAATGATGAATTGAAAGGGATGTAGAATGAGCCAGTCATGGCCTAATCTGAGGCACCATCGTCAAGCTTGCCTGGAGAGGCTGAAGAAACCGTGAGAACTCTCTGTCAGGACAGCTGCTCTACAGACCGAGATTTGAACCTCAGACATCCGGACTACAAATCGACATTGTCTAACATAGCCCAAAACAGGGTTCAATGATGTGAATTTATAACTACACAAATAAACTTCACATTTCTTAATGAGAGAAATTAGATTCAGTCGAACAGATGGACACAGCAATAATGCTCTTGTAAGATTTGAGGCTTTCACGGCAGTGACTATGAAGAACCGGTTCTCACGGTCTCTTTGCTTGCAGAATTCTTATATTTTTTCTTCTACCCTGAAGATGGAGGCGATACGTTCCTCCGAAACGTCGGTTAACACCACATATACACGGTGCCAAATCCCAGAAGACTGCTTTCTTCAATAATGCTCTTGACTCGCAATTAGGGGGTGCTGCATTCGTGTCTTGGTCATTGCACTTCATCTCGTGACTGAGGTATTTCTTGCTTTTCCTCCATCCTGCCAGGCAAATACTAAGATAGTACCATGGTTTGGCCTCAACCACTTCTTTTCTGATTCATCATTGATCTATTACCCCACCATCTGTTGCTGTGCAGAGTGGCTTCTGACAATACTGTAAAATGACGTATGTGTATACACTCTCTCAGTTGCTGACTGTGCAGGCAAAGATGGGGAGCATTGTGACAGTTCCGTGGGCACCAGTCAACATCCATAGTCTGGAGGAACTGATGGAATCGGACCTGAATTTGAAGGCTCCCTGGAAGTTACTGAAGACACTGCATAAGTCCGATGATGATCTGGTGATCAGGGCGATTGTGGCCCGCCTTCAGCCCGTTAGCACGATTACCGAACTGGTGGATCAGCTGCAAAGCCAGAAGAAGCAGAACTTTGCCTACCTCATGTATCGCCGTAGCTTGATGTTCTATGCCAGCCAATCTGTTAGTCCTTCACTCACATCTTGCACTTTAAGGGCTTCTGATGTAACTGACCCAGTCCTTCTAGAGAAGCTGATAGTATCTCAGCTACTCAAAAAATTCCCTGCCTATTGTTGAACCCAGAGGTTCACTGTCATGTTCACAAGAGTCTGTCACTGGCCCCTATCCCAAGCCAGATGAATCCAGGCTACCCATTTTCTTCCTCTTTGTTCAAGACCCATTCTAATGAAGTGCCCCTGTCACCACCTGGGTTCTCCAGCTGGTTATTTTCTTTTAGGTTTTCCTACCAAATTTCTTTATGCATTTCTCTTGTCTCTCATGTTCTGCATGTCGTGTCCATCATGTTCCTTGATTTGATCACCTGAATGGTATTTAGTGAAAAGTGCAAATTATGAAGCTCTGTTTATATATTTTTTTTTGTCTTACCATCACTTCCTCTCCCTTATGCACAAATATTCTCCTCAGCACCCTGTTCTCAAACATTCTCAATCTGTAATGGGTGACTTTGCCTTTCAGAAACGCACTGCTTAGAGTGTTGAAGGTTTTCTAGCATTCAACAAGCATTGCAGATGTCTTCTTCAGGGCTAATATCTTGGGAGGGGGGATTGGAAGCCCATGTACACGTCTGGCTATAAACAGTGAGTCAAGGGTGAAGCTGTAAGTGAATGAAACAGAAGAGTGGGGTGCTATCAGTAGGATGTGAGAAGGTGAAGCAAAGCGTTTGGTGAGTAGATAGCAGCTGCAATGTTTGCTGAAACACTGGCAATCCTTCAATATTTATGCCACACATATCTGAAAGCCAGAGTTATTCATTAAGCTTAAGATGCAGAAACCTAAGAACAACATTTATCAGTCTGTGTTATTCCTGTAATGTGAGATACTAATTTTGCCCTCATACAAAACAGCAGATAAAATTACAGTTTTATCTATTTTAATTTTAATGATATAATCTACAGTAGGTGGAAAATCTTGAAGTATTACAGATTAAGAAGTTACACTAACATTTATGTTAATGTCTGTCTGTGATACATAGATGGATTGATGTGCACTTGAACTGTACCTTGCATGACAAACATTCATAGTGGTGGACAGGTTGTTCACAAGCCAAAATTTGGTCGATTCTGATAAATGTTCAACAACACAGAACTGCAGGAAATAGGGATGCTTAGAGTGAAATAGGACAGGAAGATAGTGTTCTTAAGAAGGATGGAAACAAAATGGACATCCTCTAATTCAAGATACTTCCCCCAAAATATAATACCATATTTTAATATAGATTCAAATTTTGTAATATAAGCGTTTCTTGATACAGGTATACTTACTGAGTCACTTAAGGATTTAATCGGATAAAGAGCTTTGTTTAATTTTTGACAAAGGTATAGTATATGAATGGCTCAGCTTAAGTTTTCTGTGATATATGATGTCGTATATAGTAAATGTGATATGGCATAATTTAATTTACCCTGAAAATGGATATTCTTCTGAAACACTGATTCCTCCTATATACCAGACCATGCATACAGTAAAGGCCAAATATATAGATTAAAATAGAATAAATTTTTAATAATCTAATAAAATAAATTAAATATAAACATATATGTAGTTACAAAAAGTATAATGAATATAGAAAATGTGGATTATTTCATTTATTTGCATTTTATTATCTATATTGTCTCCTTACTTTCTTCATCTGCTTTGCATTTACCTTTTATCTTCCTCCCTGTCTATAAGTTTTGCCATATCAAGGCCACACGTTCCCATTCATTTTCCACCACCCCTATTGGTTCAGTTTCACCCCAGTGTTCATCCTCTCTTCCCTATATTGATATCCATTTTTCCTCACACTACATAACCTATCATTCTACCCTGAAGATGGAGGGAGGCTTCAGGTTTCTCTGAAATGTTGCTGAATGTCTACCATACTACACAACCTCACGTCCCAGATGCAGCAGTCATGTGAAATTAAGTTGGGAACCCTATGACAGCAGTTTGTTGTTTCGTGTGCAGGGCTGGAAGTTTCATGTTATGTCTGAGGGGTGTCTGATGGGTCACCACACTGCCCTGGTTGTCCGCAGAGGATCCCTGCTCATCCCTCGCTTCAACATCATCATCCAGCGGCTGATTGACAGTGGCATTGTCAGGAAGTGGGCCTGTGACTTCACCCCCAGGTGAGGGTCAGCACATGTAACCACTTGTGCAGATGCTAGGGTACAGGCACAGGAGCAGGATGTTGGTCCATGCATGCCAACCTCCATAAGTGAGGCACATTGGCAATAGGGAAAGCCAAGGTAAGATTTTGGATCATCTTTACTGTTTTCCAGGATATGGTCCCATGAAGTCAGGTAAATCATTATCAGTTGTTGTTAGAAACCTGCCGTTCCCATCTTCAGAATCAGAGAGTAAGCAGAGCATGGAGAAAAGTGGGATGGATATAGGGGGCCAGGGAATCAGATTCAGGGCCCTGACTCAGCCAGTGAGAGTGAGGGGAACAGAGTAAGCTGGCTCTTGCCTCTCTGTTGACAGGACTCATCAGCACCTGCCGCCAGATCTTCATGATGCTTGTTGCACTTCACTTGTCAACAAGGATTCTGGCAACAGTATGGCTGTCTGCTCCAAACAGAACAAAGCCTTCCAGAAATTGGGTCTGTTCCTGTACTCAGGGGAAAATGTGGGGAAGGTGGGTCTGCTGGAATGAGCTACTCAGCAAAGGAGACTTGAATGCTCTTTCTGCTAGACCAAACTGAGTAGGTGTCCCACTTCCTTTCCTCCTGAGGATGCCAGCAGATGCAGTTTGAGAAACACTGTTTTCTGTTTAGAGTCATAGACATTGAGCAAAGGCTGGGAACCCAGTAATCCAAATTGTTTCTCATATTTACACCACAGGAGAGCCAAGTTGGAGAGCCGGAGTGCTGGCCTTACCATACAAAACATGCTGGGTGCCTTCCGGGTCCTCGTACTGGGGCATCTGCTGGCCGTGATCACTCTGCTGGTCGAGTTCTGCTATTCCAAGCTCAGATCCTCACTGCCCGACTCTCACCATCTGCATTTTGAACAGGGTGACTTATAAGCCACTCTTGCTTGTATCCTACTGCCTTGTGAATACAATTTGGAACAGAAACAACCTGAGGTAAATGGGTCACTCTGTGTGGTAATGCTACAAGGATTTTTGGCACATTTGCAATGTTAAATTACAAAAATCTGCTTATTAGACTCATAATGTGTGTCCATCAGTTTAAGTGCAACAACTTGACAACTGCTGAATTTATTTTCATGATATCTGATAATGGGAAGTTTTGCTGATACTAATCGAAACGTTCCAATTTTGGTTAAAGTGAGACAACAGTAAAGAGCTGCTTCACATGAAGGAAGAGTGACGTGCATGTCTCCAGCATAACTCGTCAGTATTTACTGAAGTCAATCATGTTTTGCAGGCAGGTTGGAGAGAGAAATGAAATACACATTTTATGTTCAGTCCACATTTCCACAACAAGTTTTATAGATTTTGCGGATAATGATACAAAAATATCTCATGAATGGAGAAATGTTGGACTCATTTTAATAAATTCATGCATTGTAGGTCATTGCTTATCAGTTCTTTCTCTGTAACACTGCTTCTAAGCCAGCATAAAAAATAACATTAAAAAATTGAAAAGTATAGAGGCAGTAATGGAGCAAACAATCCATAACTTTTATGCTATGCATACATTTCCTAACTTGTTCACTTCATCCCTGTTGTGTCCAGACCAGCTGTACTCTCTACCTGTCCTCCATTCCTGTGGCTACTGCCAGCCAATTCCCTTGGGTCAAAGCAGCCAGGGCATGAAGCTTATCACCCAACTTTATCTGTTGGCTTTGATAATGCAATCTGACTTAAGCCCTTTTAGCAGCAATTCACAGATTTAATTTTGCTCTCAAGGGACTAGGATTTGATGAGTTTCTGGGCAATTCTGAATACCTCACACGTTTTCTGCATGGATATTTTTACGATAAAAATCCCTCAGAAAAGTGAGATTTTAATTAACTCCATCAAAAGTTTGGAAAATATTGTAATATTGAAAGCAACATACCACAAATGGTTGACTCTTTTCTGGGAAAAAAATGATTTATAAAGTTAGTTCATACTTTGTTAACATAACAGAGATAAAATAAATTATTTTCTGATGGCAGCAAAATTCCACCAGTTTGCGTAAACATGTCAGCTCCATGGTATCCCAGGTAAAATTATCTTCTCTGACAAGTTGTGATCAAAAAAATTGCCACACGGTTCATACCTTTGAAAAGAAAATAGATTTACGTGTGGCAGGACTCTGCATTGTCTACAGAACCTGAAGGTTCATTCCCAAGTTCACAGGAGTTTGCAACTGACACCTGCCCTAAACCACATCAGTTCAATCCCCACTCTCAAACATTTCCTTAAGATTAATTTTAATATTATCTTTCCATCTATGCTTAGGTTTGTCAAATTATTTCTTCCTTTCAAATTGTCCAGCTAAAATTATGTATACATATCTCTTCTGACCCATGTATGCTTCCTGCCCTGCCCATGTCACCCTCCACGATTTGATCACCATAATAATGTTTTGTGAGGAGTACTAATTATGAAGCTCCTTGTTACACATTGTCTCCACCCTTCTGACCCTCCTACATCCAAATAGCCCCATAGCACCCTGTTCTCAAACACCCTTAGTGTAGTATGCTGTTCCCTTAATGTGAGAGACCAAGTTTCACACCCACACAAAACAGAAGGTAAAACCCTAGATTTTATATTTTAATTTTACAATTTCAGAGAGCAGATGGAAAGACAAAATAGTAGGAATTGAATGGTAGCAAGAATTCCCAGAATTCATTTTAATACTCCTTGTGAATATTTTTCTTGTTCGCACTTTCTATAATCCATTTTAATATATATTATCCTTCCGTATGTGTCTTCAACCCCAAGTAGTATCTTCATGTATAATTTTGCAAGTAACTCTGTTTAAGGCGTATTTCTCCCATGCATGCTACATTGCTTCCCCACAGAAGAGTTGTTTAGCTAATGAATTATCTGTGTGAAGCGTGTAATGTTTGTCTGACTTGAGGTTCTCATGTAACTATGGACATTACCGTCTTTTGAGGTGTGATGCCATATGATCTTGTAGATAGTTACCACCATTTCGGAGGAACCTGCTGCTTTCATCTTGAGGGCATTAACTAGTGACCGCTCAAATGTCGTACTCCAGAAGACATTGTCTTCATGTGACACATTTTGTGTTGACGGGTATCTGCCTGCTGGTGGTATGAAACTTTGAAGTTTTCTTTGAAGAAAGTAATTACTGTACCTTGGTGTAATGTGAATTAGATGTAATGACGAAGCGTAGACATTGTCTTGAAACGGAAGTTCTTCTGCCTTCTGCACTTTAGCAGTAATGATCAACTTTTATATGGGAATGAGGATGAACTGAGAAAACAAATGAGATTTAAAGTTCTCAAGGCAGTGAACATTACAATGTCTATTTTTCCTGAGGTGTGGCATCATGTTGTCTGGTAGACTGGTACCGCTGTTTCAGAGGAACCCAGTGTTCTCATCTTTAGGTTGTAAGACAGGGAGTACATGTTCATGCAACACCCTGGTACCTGTCTACCAGACAACACGGTGTCACTGCTCAGAAAACTATAATCCTAAAAAAGGTAAACATTAAAATATTATTCTCTTTATTGATATATTTATTTTGTGTTCATTTAAAAGTTGATAAAGTAATATACATGTACTTGGTTACATATATTTGTAAGAGTTCTTCAAATATGCTTCACAAGCACCATAAAAATGTCTCTATATTTTAATCAGAAGACTATGTTCTTCCACTAACTATCTGTATGTATCTAGACACTTGTATTAATCCTATATCCTGCACATCTTCAGGAAAAATAATTTTCTCTATCCACATTGACAAGACAAATGTTACCATGTGGGTCAGTGGTGTACAGGGCATTCAAAAATAAACAATATCATTTCAAGTGTGTGTCTTTTAGAGTCATGCACAGTAATGGGGAACTTTCTTAGGATAGGAGAATTGTTCCTTTTTGGGAAAGTTTTAATTGTTCACAGTTGGGAGTTGTAAAACTGTGCCAGTTAACTCTGCCATGCATGTCTATCTCCCTGCCCACAGGTAATAACTTTGGAACCACTGAAAGGATTTACATTAAATTTGATACAGGGGACTTCAATTAAACTGTGTGAGCACGTTCCTGTTTTTGTTAAATTCTGTTAACAGTAGTAGTTGATGATTTAATAATGTTTCTGCATGCATCTTGAGCATAACTTGCCATTTATTGGGGCGATAATTATTTTAAATAAAAGTTGTACAGATAAAATGAGCACACAATTTATATCGAATGCTGTTTTCTGTGTCCTGTGAACATAGTAATGAAACTCCGGGTTCCCTAAAGTCCTGGGAAGTTCTTAAGTGGCTGCACAATTGGGGGCTTCTCAAGAAGTGCTCAGCTCCATGAGTAAGTCTTGCAGTATTTGAGAGTAAACCCCTGAAGATGGGCCCAGTGACTTTTCATGAGACTCCTACCTAAGACAGAAGACCACCATATGAGACTGCCTCGAGATGATTGAAGTAAGCAAACCTTCGCTGTTCACAGAACTTAGTGGTAGTTTCAGTGCACCTTAATTTTAGAGTTTGGTTACAAATTTGTCAGTTTTAAAAGGGAAGGAATTCCTTTCCTTATTTTGGCACAAGAGTTGCCACCAGAGATATGGAAATTAATATGTTGATTCCAGATGTAGGATCATTACCCTGTCTTTGGCATCATCTCAACTTTGTATTTGGCAGTTCAGTGTGGAGGTCCAGCTCCTTATGTTTCACCTTGTAAAGTTGACATGTTGTTATAACGAACGCAACATATACAAAATACCTGATGTTGAAGTGGAGTGAGTAACACTCATCCATATTCTCGAGACTCTGTGTTCAAGTCCTGACCTGAAGACTGGCTGTCCTGAATGAAGCTTCTCATGGTTTTCTGCAGTCTGCAAGACCCAGATACTGGATAGTACCTGAAATTAGGCTATAATCACTTCCCTTCGCTCCCTTTCCAGTTCGTTATTCTCTGCTCATCCTACCATTCAGTGCTGTGTATTCTGAGATAGTGACAGTGCCGTTAAGTAAACCATAAATGTAACAAGAGGGATGACAGACACATAACATTAAAACATCCACTGAACAGGGAGTTGCCACGTACAGATGTAATGGAGGATTTCTAAATTAACTGATAGTCTTAATCAAAAACATTTTTAAGTCCTTAACACTACAAAATATTTCTCTTGAAATTGTCCATATTGCCTAGTTGATTATTGTATTCCATTTGTGTATGCTGTATAATCAGGAAATGTTCAGGTATGCGTCACGTCCATTTCCCCCTCTTCATAATAACACTGTCTTCTATACAGTCCTTAACAGTGCAGTCTCTTGTTAAATATTGCATGAAATCATGTAATTCATGTACGTAATTTCTTGCATGCCATGTGCCATGCCAAAATCACTTACTGAAAGCAATTCTTCTGCCTTCCTTTACAGATTAGCATTTTTAATCCTTGTACCTGCCTCAAAATTATTTACAATGTCTGATGATAATTGTCCATCTTTCCACGTATGTTAAACGTGACAATATCTAAACATTTCATGCTGAGTGAAGTTCAATTTTCATAGACGTGTAACCTTTCCTACACTGTCCTTTAAAAGTCTTGATGGTCTTGGTCATGAGTGGGTTGCAAGGGGCAAGCAGGAATCGGCCCACCCCCTCCTGTTTTTTCCTTAAATTCAAATTGAAGAAAAAAAAAAAGGAAATTACCAAATATTAGTTATAACAATTACAAGTATTTAAAAAAATATTCTTGTATCCTGAAAGCTATGCAGTGGTCATTAAAAGTGTTCTTAATCACTTAACCATAAGATTGTAAACACATTCTGTGGCTGCACATCCCCCTAAGAAGAAGTTCCTGGTGATGGCCATGTCTGCATAGTGGTTCAGTGTGTAGACTAGTAGGTACAACATATTGTGATGTCACTCGCGAGACCGCAGAGTTCAAGTGACCCCTGCTTCCTGTTGCGCCATCCACGTCACACTATCTACATGGCTGTTTCCTCTGTTCCTCTGCAGAGCTGTTCCCTTTATAGACTTGTAGCTGCAGTGTAGCTGTGCAGTTTGTTTCCTTCTGTTTCTGTACGCAGCTCTTCCCTGTATAGACTTGTAGCTACAGTGTAGCTATGCAGTTGTTTCTTTGTTTCTCTATACAGCTGTTCCTTGTATAGACTTGTAGCTTCCATGACTACGTAGAGTGCTGGAGCGTGTTGGTGGCTGTAAACATAAGCTTGAGTGAGTATGCTTTCTGCAGGTTAGAGTGACTGATTCTGTGAATATGACATCTGAGATATAAATGTGTAACATTTTGGGTTAATGTGCATAATAATTATCATATCATTGCATCTTGACACATGAAACAGATTTAATGATTTATGCTGAATTTTAAAATGTTATCCCTATGCTTAATTAAGTGTCATGGCATAAGGATGCATGAGGGAGTGGAGGTATATTTCCACACTTTTGTAGCCTTGGCACTACATGGAGGTGAGTGGTCAGATTCATGTACCGGTCACTTAACCCCAGAGAAGGAGCCCCAGGTACCCGTTGGATAGGAGGTTAGGTGGGCCCCACAGCTGGCCTGGATGCTGCGGAGAAGAGCTCTTGCCCCAGTCGGGAATTGAAGGGCAGATTCTTGGTATTAATCACTATGTTAACTGACCCATGCCAGCTTGGTTCCATTGAAGATAAAGAATTAAAATCAGTGTTACTGGAATCACTTATGTTGAATAGGATTGGATGTAACTGGCACAGCATAAGGTCCAGTGACAAGGAAATATTGGTGACACTTTGAACGTTAATAGGAGATATCAGAATTTTCTTGTTTTAGAGAAACATGTGTACATATTCATTTGTTATGCTTAATGATGTTTTACTGGTCTAGACTGTACACTTTCAAATAGGATGATAAATGAATAATGAATTGGAAAGGATGTGAACGGTTGCTGTCATGTCCGCATATAAAGTACTAACTACCTTAGCATTATGCTGGCCAGACTGGGGAAAATCACAAGTTTGTCAGAATAGTTGACCTTTGGGTCGAGATTTGAATCCAGGACTTATCGAAACAGGAGTGAAACGTATGAACTACCAGTTGTAATAAACATTTCACGTGCCTGACTTCCGACGTTCCGCTTACGAACGCTCACTTGCATGTTGCTAAGAGACGCAGCGGAGTCCGGGGAACGACCGCTGTCACGTGACTTCCATGCGTGCAACAGGCGAGACATCTGATGGCAGAAAGATAAGCAGGTCAGGCTTTCGTGACCTATGTGGTAAAGATATGTTGATACGCATTCAAAAGTTTTCTAGATCGAGTCCCACGACCTTTATACAGCAAATAATGGGCCCGTCCATTGTTTAAATTTACGTATGAAATCTCCACAGAAAGTCCTTCAGAGGAAGATGACATGGACATAGAGGGAACAAAAAAGTGGAGAAAAGAAAATCGAGTAGTTACTATAGGATTCTGACGATGGTGTATAACACACAGAGATATTGGGTTTTCGGACTTTATCCATCGTCCTGGTTTTTAAGATAACTAAGAAAAACACGACGTTTCCAGTGATTGAGGCTAGCTCTTTGTAAGGGACCCAACAGAATAGGTGTTTTCCCTCACCTGAGGACGGAAACAGATCCAGTTTCCGAAACGTCGTGTTTTTCTTACTTATCATAAAAACCAGGACGATGGATAAAGTCCGAAAAACCAATATCTCGAAATGAAAATCGTATCATTATTTTACTCGAAGAGTATTTCTGGGACGTGACGCCGTGCAGGCCGGTAGAAATTTACAGCCGTTTAGAAAGAAAGTACTACTTCCATCTTCAGGGTGAAGCATAGTCAGATGCAGTACGTTGCTCCGAAACTTCGGTGAACTTCTACCTGAGCACACTGTCACATATGCGAGAAGCAGCACCATTCTGTTTACATATCTGTCGTCACACTGGGCACGTTCTCGCGGCGGGTACCAAGACGTGATCCCAGTGAGTGTCACGAAGTGCGCAGGTGTAAGGAGAAACGCTGTGGAGGTGCTCCTCACCTGATTCTTGAAGAACGATGTGGTCAGTGTGTAGATGACCGGGTTCAGAGCTGAGTTCACTGGCAGGACCAGAACTGCAAGCCACGCGCACAGCCGCTGGTCCACCTTGGCCCCTGCAACACACACCACACGCTTCAGCATAATGGTAACGTGTTTCTTGTGACTGCAGCAGCGAAGTAAGCTGGAACAAATATTTGCTGTACCCGTAGAATTTGTTTAGGCGCGGCCGACCAGACACTTGTAGTACCGCCGCAGCTGAAGGCTCTAAAGGCGCTATGTGTAGCTTTTGGCCGTGTGTTTGTATACCCAGTTCGGTTTGTCTTCCGAAGTACACGTAACAGTGCACGTGATCATCTTCGTGAAGTTTGTACAACCGAACGCGTCGCTTTGGACCAGGGATTTCTGTATTTGCCTTCATAATTTAGAGAACGTGTTTCCAGTGAGGTAAAAACTATGTTTTTATGTATCATTTGGACGAACTTCAGGTTTCAAGAGTCAATCCTCTCGTCAGAGAGGATGTTACATAAGGAATATGACCGCAAGGGTTCACTTGCAAAACAAATCTCTGGTCGTGAGCGTTGAGGGCTTGGTGCCAAGACGAACTGATGAGCGGTAAACCGCCACTGGTAAAGTAACTCTGACTGAGAACCAGGCTTCAATGGGTTACACAGAAAACAAGACATGTAACTCTTTGCGCATGGTGTTCATGTTGTCTTAACGTACAAAAGAATTACCTGTGCAAGAAGTATGGAGCGCCCCGCCACGAAGGCGTATGGTGGAGTGTAGGTTTAGGTTCACACATTGTTAACCTCTGCATTGAATTGAGGTGAGTAGTTAGCTTGACACTCCGATCCCTTTACCCTCAGGGAAACCTCTTCTCGGTACCCACTGGGTAGCCTTCGTGAACCCTAGAGCCGGTCATGACGCGATCGAGAAGAGACAAAATTCATGCCCCTGACTGGAATCGAACCTACTTCCCCACTCACCCATTTCCTAGCCTAGTCGCTGTACTGAATGCTGTAACCCGCCTCAGGCGAAATAGTTCTGACGCGTGTTGATTTAGGCACATTGAAAACATAAACGCACATGAAAGCGTAATATTAAAATGGATCCTAGAGAAGTCAGATATCAGTGTGTGGAGTGGATTCTTCTGGCTCAGGATATGGTCCAGTCGTGGGATTTTGTGAACTCGGTAGCGAACCCTTGGGTTCCACAGAAGAAACTGAATGTATTGATCAACCGAGCATTTAACAGTTTGTCAAGAATGTCCCTGTTCCGCGGAAGTGAAGCTTGTGTCTGTATCGGCAGTTATTCACGGGAGCGATGTGCTGCAACCCGTGCGGACCAGGCTCCACGCCACAGAGCGCCCTAATTGCTGTGTACACGGAATGTACAGATGCACACAGTAAAGAACACGGCAGTCTGATTCGAAGAAAAGTTTGTGGCAGAATAACGGCTAAATGAAACGAGCTGGATGCTCTTTCATCTACGACTCTTTAAAAGCAAAACTAATTTAACATCGGCAAGTAATTACATGCCAGCTTTCATGACGCTCCGACAGGCGGCAGTGTACGCACCTATCCGCCGCCTCCCGTCTGACTTCGCAATTAAAATTGTTCGTCTGTTTTTTCGTACAACTCGTTACGTTTAATAAAAGGCTAAATACATGTGGATATTTTGGAAGTTAATGAGGAAAATTCATGTCACGTGATGACAACAAATGACACTAATTAATAACTTTAATTCGTGGAAACAAACAGGGATTGACAAATTGCGGCTCAGTTTTTACTTCGAGCCAAACAAACTGCCCGTCTGTCTCCACCCTCCTGACCGCCGTGTGACATTCAAGGCGTGTAGAATGTTGTCCGGGCCTTTGCGTCGTGGATATGGGCAGTGTTTCCGACGTTTCGGATGTACATACTGCCTTTATCTTCAGGGTAGAAGTTAGGTTTTAGTGTTCATGTATGCTGAGGAAATTGACGAGGAGGCGTGGAAATGGCTTTTCAGAACCAGACATGCTCTCCAGCTCAGAACTGGGCATGCATTACGGATCAGAACTATGCATGCGCTCCTGATCAGAACTGGGCATGCGTTTCGGATCAGAACTAGGCATGCGCTCCTGATCACAACTTGGCGTGCGCTACGGATCAGAGCTGAGCATGCACTCCTGATCACAACTTGGCGTGCGCTCCGGATCAGAGCTGGGCATGCGCTCCGTCTCAGAACTGGGCATGCACTCAGGATCAGGAGACAAGCCCGGGCTACGACCGACGCTTGTTACCACTGTCCCGGCCGTAATTCGAACCAAGAACCTCCTGCATACGAGTCTGGAGGTGCCTGGTTATAGTCTCGGTCGGGAAGCCGGCTTTCTCTACTGAGGACTTTCGTGGTTCTCTTCAGACCCTCAAGATAAGTACCAGGATAATGGCTCGAGTAAGCAATGAATTGGAGAACGTACCTGCCAGTGCTGCCAACTTGACGCCAATGACGGGGATCCAGCACAGGCAGTCAGTGGCCACGATGAACAGGAACCTCTGTGCCAGGGCGTGATCTTGCCTCTCCTGTGTGGAGCGCAGGGACAGCCCTGAGGAGCGCACCGCACGGAGCATGCGCCAGTAGGAGCAACTGATGAACACCAGCGCCACCGTGTTCAGAACGATAAACATGGCAGCCGAGTACTCCCAACCCTGCGACACAGCGTTACAACGTTCTGTGAATTTAAACACGGGACGTTCGTACTACCTTCTGGGATGTGAAGACACCGACGTTTCGGACGAATGTGGTGCCTCCCTCTTGAGAGTCGAAGTGTAAGCAAGCAACAAACATCAGCTTCTTGCAGGTTGCGTGATTGGCTTCTTCTTAGATCCTGAAGTTGGGGACAGTACGTTCGTCTGAAAGGTGAGCGAGCTCTGCCAGACTACACGGCGTCACATCCCAGAGTATAGTACTCTTCATAGTCACCGATGTGTTAACCTCAAATTCAACACTTGGAACTTACGATGTAATAAGGGTAAAGCTATCCCTGTAACAGGCCGTGAAGGCCCATAGGGTTGTGATTCGTCGAGGCTCACACATTATCTAGACAATCGGCTCACAGATGGCGGTGAGGATGTCGGCCTTACGCGCCTGCGGCCCTTTACCCCCAGAAAGATTCCTGGTACTCATTTCTGTTAGAGGCTGAGTCGACACCAGGGACACAGTGCGGCTTGAAGGATTAGGTCAATTGGAAAATCCAGTGACCTCATCGGGACTCGAACCCGCGACCTTCCGGGCTAGTAGAATAGTGTCTCAACAAACTACGCTACCGCGAGCCCCACTTCTAAAATTTCTCTCATTTTCAGCTTCTCAGCGTTGCTTCATGCTGCGTATGTCTAGCTATACTAGTATATACTTTGTTTAAAACACCTTGGATGGTACGTCATGATCAGACAGTGACGTGCGTTGTTACGTCATCATTAGAAAGTTACTGTGTTCTGTTTGCAGCATGAGATGTGAAGCAGAAGCCTCGTGAGGCACTGACATCAGCAAACGGATCCTGGACGTGCAGCGGAAGGCAGACCCCATTTCCGCCGTAGAACTCCTCGCCGAAGTAATCCACCGTCTCGACGCACAGTGGCAGCGCCGCGACGATCGCCGCCAGGAGCCACAGTACCGCGACGAGCAGCGTGGCGCGGCGCAGTGAGGGTTGCCGCCTGTCGAAGGGGCGCGTGACAGAGGCGAGACGGTCACTCGTGATGAGCGTGAGGATGAGAACGGAGAACTCGCAGCTCATGGTACTCAGGAAACCTGCACTACAAACACTCATGTTGGCACTACTGCTGGGTTGTGTCACGGGGCTTAAACCTGCACTAGAAACACTCATGTTGGCACTACTGCTGAGTCGTTAGGACTCAGTTGGTTTCGTGGGCCATGTTAATGTTATATTTTATTTGCTTAGGATTGAAAGTGCATCTGGAGTGTCAGTTGAGCGAAGGAAAAGCTGCTGCTTTGCAAAAACTTACCGTCAGCTCTCCTGAAAACCGCCAGGCTTTTACGGACCCAGTGTGTCGCACATGAAACGCGTGTTTCGTTTTCCTCTGAAAATTTTGTTCGAAAAATATTTTTCACTGCGATGAACACTTAGCGAGTTATGGTAGAGGCACGCGTGGAAATGCGTGTTACGTCTCCATGAAAAGCGTCCGTTATTCTTGTCCGATTTTGATCGCAAATACAACGAGTGCAAGTCCGGACAGGAAGACAGGAGCCTGTTTATTGCAAATTACTGAATGGATAACTCGTTTCTCTTCGCCCAATTTTCAAGTAATTCTTTTTCTCCATAAATACGAAATATCTTATTTTCAAACTAAAAGCTGATATAGCTCAGTCGCTATAGTGACTAGGCCTCAGCTGGAGAGCGAACCAGTTGAGGTTCAGTTCCAGTCAGGGGAAGGAATTCTTTTCATCACAGCGTCCGGCCCACCCAGTGCCCCTTATACAAGGGATGCTGGGAGCCTATTTCGCAGGGATAAAGCGACCAAGGCATGAATCTGAGCATTGGATTTTATCTGTGCAAGAGCTAGAAATGCGTGGATCTATACCTGCACTTCTCCATACACCTTCATGGAGTCATGCTTAGGGGCCATTCTGCCTTTACCTCTGTCTCTACCCAATTTCCAGATTTTGTAGTTAGGTTGGCTCGCCTGCGTGACACGTACCACAGATGTTGCAGATGGGGCTGTGCCGCCACTGAAAGTCGTGCTTGACGTAAATGTCGCGGTAATGCCAGTCCGCCGCTGCTATGATCAGGAGGTACACTCCCATCAGTAAGTCTGCCAAGGCAAGCGTCTTAATGTAGAGCGAGTGGACGGGGTTCGGTTCGCGAGTCACCAGTCTGCCAAGCAGAACCAGCGTGTTGCCAGCGCAGGCCAGGACCGCCATAACCCACACACTAAAATCAAACACAATAAGACAGGGCTACCAACTGAGAACAATACCGGGCAGAAGCACGCGTTCTTCTTTTCCCATACACAATATATAGAAGTTGAATTTAAAAATATTAACACTCACATTGATAAATTTGAAGTTTCCTTACGTAATCGAAATTAGGACATAAAATTAGAATATACAAAATTATAATTTTGCCTGTGGTTCTGTATGGGTGTGAAACTAGGTCTCTGATATTAAGGGAGGAACATACACTGAGGGTGTTTGAGAACAGGGTGTTGAGGAGAATATTTGGACTGAAGAGAGATGAAGTGACAGGAGGCCGGAGAAAACTGCATAGTGAGCAGCTTCATAACTTGTACTCTTCTCCAAGTACAATTAGAATGATCAAGACAAGGAGGATGATATTGGCAGGGCATGTAGCACGAATGAGAAGAAGAGTGTTGTACATAGGATATTTGTAGAAAAGCCAGAAGGAAAGAGACCCCTAGGAAGGCCAAGACGTAGGTGTGTGAACAATATTAAAATAGATCTTAGAGAGATAGGATGAGGTGGTATGGACTGGATCGGTCTGGCTTAGGATGGGGACCAGTGAAGGGCGCTTGTGAACACGGTAATGAACCTTCGTGTCCATAAAATCCTGAGTAGCTGCAGAACTGGCGCCTTCTCAAGAAGGGCTCATATGCATGAAGTCACTTGAATCGAAAACGCTGCCCTTATCAGAAGGACGAGAAACTGGAGCCTGGGAACCTTCTGACAAAGTGCCTCTCACTTCTCCCATGATTTTCTCTTTCCACAAACTCTTCTCCTGTTCTTACCTTTCTGTCTTACGGGGTAGGAAATTTGCGTGTGCAGTGCCCACACAGAAATCCTCGTGCACACGGCCACAAACCAAATCATTGGCATGTAGTAATATATGAACGCATTACCCTTAACATCTCACCCCCCCCCCAAAAAAAGAAACAGCGTTAGGGTTGGCAAACAAGACTGGGTAGTGGTGTTCCTCGTGACTTTACGCCGAACTGCCAGCACACCCATCCGCTCAAGGTCATCTCACCGTTACATCTCTGTTTTATACGTACAGAAATACTATAGTAGTCGCACCTTGCTCGGAGCACGGCGCTGTCCAGCAGGTGCTGCAGGCTCGAAATGCCGTCCCCTTGCGGCTCGCAAACGCGGACCCGCAGAGCAGCCGAGCAGAGCTTGAACTCGTCGAAGTATCTGCCACACAGTAACGGGCCAGTTAGGCGTTGCCTCCATCTTCATGACGGAACAAGAGCAAGCACGAGGAGGGACAACACTGTAAACTATGCTGGCCCTCAAAAGGGCCGTTATGCAGAAGCAGAGTGAGAGGGGAAAGAGTGGTTCTGACTGGACCAATAGGAGGGGGGGAGATGCAGAAGGGTGAAACATTGGGAAGCGGATGAGAGAGGGCACAGGAGGAGGAAAGAGGAAGGAGGCTCTCATACTCCTGCTCAGGGCCCCAGTCCTGCCCGTACCACCTTCTTTCCACGCGCCTCTTGGTCTTGTGTCCTGAAGATGGCGCAACCTCGTTCCTTCGAAACGTTAGTAAGAATCTACCACAGAATGTCACATTTCAGAAAACAGTAAACTATAAAGTCGTCCCCCTTATTTGGGCTGGTCTGGACTTCGCCAGCGCAGCCATTCTTCGTTTCGGGCCCTGCTGGACCCATGCTCACATGCCACCACCCTGAGTACCTGAGATCTAATGTTTGTAGTATTGCTCCCCCCCCATGTTTCCCCTTGTAACTTCCGAAACACCCTGTATAATACGCACATGTGTTCCAGGCTGTGCAAGTGGCGGAACACCTGACTGTCCACTCTCTTCAGCTGGTTCCGCTGCAGGTACCTGAAACAAGTGACGACACAGAAGCCGCTGAACACCAGCTGTTAACTTGTTTAACATCGGTTCAACTAGAGCCTCGAGTTCGACTCCGGAACGAGGCAATCAGATGTCAGTTAAGAGAACCAGTTTGTTGCATCACACGTGTGTAAGAGATGCAGCAGCCCTGGGGTGAGTTTCTGTCTGTCATTAGAGAATTTGTATTTCTGATTTGCTTTGATCTGCTCTGATCTGCACAGCCCTTGTTCTGATTTGCTCTGATCTGCTCTGATCTGCACAGCCCTTGTTCTGATCTGCTCTGATCTGTACAGCCCTTTTCTGATTTGCTCTGATCTGCTCTAATCTGCACAGCCCTTGTTCTGATCTGCTCTGACCTGCTCTGATCTGCTCTGATTTGCTCTGATCTGCTCTGATCCGCACAACCCTTGTTCTGATCTGCTCTGATCTGTACAGCCCTTGTTCTGATCTGCTCTGACCTGCTCTGATCTGCTCTGATTTGCTCTGATCTGCTCTGATCCGCACAACCCTTGTTCTGATCTGCTCTGATCTGTACAGCCCTTGTTCTGATCTGCTCTGATTTTCTGGCACACGTTATGGCTTCTGAAATACACCAAAATCATGAATGTACTGAGTATGCATGGCGTGAACTGGAAAAGCATCGAAAAGACAGTTTGATATAATGATGATGACGATGATGATAATTCAGTTCTCTATTTGAGTGCTTGCCAACAGCGACTGGCCTATAACAGGCGAGCACTGAAAGTGTACATAACAAAAACTAGACTAAAATTGAATCCTAGGCAATACAAGTAAAACAGTACAGGCAACGCGATAATGTTGTAACTCGGTAGGATTGGGCGAAGGGAGAAGTTATGTTTACTGGAAATATCCAGAGATTTGCGGATGCTGTTTGTTGCCGTGACACGCCTTATTGAAGGCTAAGGGTGGCCGCACACCAACTGCGTCAAGACAAGCATCGAGACATGGGACAAAAGGCACAGTCTTGCTTCATTCGTGATTCGTCAGCATGAAGCTGGCGTCAGCATCATGACTCAGACCGGTGTGCGGCGGTTTTCATAATCTCATTCGTTTCAACTGTGCTCCTTTCTTTGCGTCATGTCGCAGACATCGTGTCTTGACTGTTATATCTCTTGACGCATGCCGGTGTGCGGCCTACCTAAACCGTGAGACATTGCTGACGTTAAAGGTAGAAAAGCCTCTAATTTGCGTACTGGGTACACGGAGACCAACAGTAGCCATGACAGAACAACAGTCAGTTTTGTTCTTGAAAGCGTTAATAAGAAATAAAGCGTCAGGCTTTGTCGCCTGGAATAAAGCGTTTTAAAATGTGAATGCTTCAACATGGATTCATAATTACGCAAGAGGTAGAGCTGAATAAAGCGATTATAGCATAAATTTGCAACCTTTCACAGTGTAGGATTTGAGGTTTTCACGGCGGTGACTGAAGAATGCCATCTTGTGGTATGTGGCGCCGTGTAGATCTTGTGTGAACCGACGTTCCTCCGAAACGTCGGTTTACACAATATCTACAGGGCGCCACGTCCCATAAGATAGCATTCTTCATAGTTACCGCCGTGAAAACCTCGAATTGTACACATTGCATTTACTTGAAACAAGAATTTCTTATGACGTGCAGACGCCCTGCACGCACAGGCAAATGTTTTAACGAAAACAATCGCTGCGTCTTGCGAGAATCGCATGAAACATGGAAGTATGTTGTGAGGGCGAAATGCAAAGATTTGAGTGGTGCGTGCTCTGTTCTGAATGTGCTGAGAGTCAGTACTTACAGAGATGTGAGCAGGGGGAGCTCCCTGAAGGCGTCCGTTTCCACGTGATGGATTTTGTTGTCATTCAGACTCCTGCAAAGAAAAACATCTGCAGGTTCTCACAATGGAAGAGAGAGTTGATTTCACAGCAACTGAACTGGCTGCTGGAGGCAACACAGCGAAGGGAGCTGAAGGCGTTGTGGTTCAGATGGCAGGTCCACTGTCTTGCTGAGTTGGGGAGTGGGATTTGAGGTCATCATGGAACTATCTTGTGAGACATGCCATCATATGCCTGAAGATGGAGACAGCAAGCCTACCAGAGTACACGGCGTCACATCCCAGAACACAGTGATCTTCATACACTGAAAGGGTTCCAGGACAGAGTGCTGAGGAGGATATTTGGACCCGCGGGGAAAGAAGAGATAGAAGGTTGGAGAAAATTACGTAATGAGGAACTTCACAATTTGTACTCTTCGCCAGATATTGTCAGTGTGATCAAATCTATTTCACTGAAATTGTTGATAAGAAAGAGATACTTGGCACAGTTGGTACAGTTTACCTAGTGTAATACATTTTCGAAAATTCCGCCGTCAACATCAATGCACTTTGCAACTCATGTGAGGACATGGCGTGTTGCTCGTCTGTACAGTGTACAGTGTACAGTGTACTGTGCAGTGAAAGAGCTGTATCTCGGAAACCGTTCGGAACAGCACACATGTACACACAGAGTGTTCTGCTTAGAATCACCGATACTATGGCCTCCCAGAATATTGACTTTTCCTCCTGGAACACCCTGTAAAGCGTCGGATGCGAGGATCGTCGGTGAATTGGAGACACTACCCTGCCATTTGATGAGAGGAACTGAGGAAAACCACATAAACCTCAGGCAGGACAGCCGACGTCCAGACCAAGATGTCCGACCAAGCTCTTCCTATGAGTCAGGAGCGCTACCGCCACTCTAACCCGCTCGATTGCCCAGGTATATGTGGGAGGCTGCAGGCAGATTCTGTTTCAAAGAAAAATCCGTTTTCCAGCGCTGTGCTTCTCGGTGACAATTCTGCGAACTACTGAATTTCATCTTCTTTGACTCTGAGCATGACGGAACCCCGAGTTGTGCTCGGGGCTGGCGTTTCTCAGGTGAATGTGAACTTGCGGCAGAAACTTCGGAGACTTAGAGCTTTCCCAACTTTCCCGTTCAGAAGCACATTTGCAGCTTCACTTTGTGCTCTAACGGTGCGCGTAACTTGTGGCCCGCAAGCCAACCGGAGATCGCCATGCTCTGTTTAATGACGCTCTCAGTATCTCACATGCTGCTGCGTCGAGTGGCAGGATCATTAGGGAACAGTGGACTTGAACGTCTTTGAAAGGAAGCGGTCGTGACCTATTCTGAGATATTATCCTGAAGGGACTGAGGAAAACAACGAAAACCTTGTTCAGTGTAGCAAGAGTCTCCAGAATGCAAGTCAGAAACGTTGAAAGAGCTTCCTCGATGTAATTCGGACCTGCTTTCGTGCAGAAGTGAGGAGCAGTTTAGACTGGCTTTCGGCTCCCTGAAGTCTGCTGCTGTGTGGGAACTGTGAGGTGGCCTCTGCTTCTGCACGGGTGTGCAACTCGGTCTCTCACAGACAGACCGAACGTGTTTGAGAAGAGGCTGCTGTGAGGAATATTCGGACCGGAGGGGGATGAATTTGCAGGTGGGAGAAGAGGATTGAATGATAAGGCACTTTACCGAGTACAATCCTTGCTCTCTGTCAGATATAATCGGAGACCGCGGGGAGAAGATTGAGATTTGGAGCTCACGAGAGAAGAGAGGACAAGTGTGTAAGGTCTGAGTTGGAAAGCTTGAGAGGAAGAAGTTATTTGGAATTAACTCGAGTAAGGTTATGGTGAGGGCCGCGCTCAAGCGGTTAGTTGCTGGCTTCCCATCGCGGCGGTCCGGGTTCGATCCCGGCTCTGGTCAAGTGGGATTTATGGTGAACAAAGTGGCGCTGGGGCAGGTTTTCTCCGAGTACTTCTGTTTCCCCTGCCAATCTTCATTCCACCAATTGCTCCACAATCACCCTCACCTACCATCTGGGGCTGGTACAATAGGCCAGAAGTGGCCGCCGTACAAGGGACTTAGTCCCACCCCACTAGCAATAAAGACAAGGGTTATGGTGAGAATTGCGGATACGGGCCAGTAGCGAGCTCTTGTGAACACAGCCGTAAACTCGCCCTGTCACCACTGCTCCAGGTAGTGAGCTAGTTAGTCAGTTAGCACAAAGTGCCTGAAGCCTGCGATCAGTCTCACGAAAACAATGACGACAATACGCTGCGGATAAGGTAGAAGGACGCTATTTAAGACAGACGCCTATATAAACAGACGCTGCAATTAGGGCTATATCACAGCGTGAAAAGAACAGGTACTTGCTAGAGGCGTGCACGAGGATGGCGTTACCATAGTTACCAGCAGACTTATTTGTCGTCTTGATAAATTGTGTGTCGATCTGTCACACAGCTGTATACAGGATGTTTCAAATATCGTATGACAACTGGAGCAACAGTTGGAGAGTTCTGTAATGCTGATAATGTTCCTTGGTGCTCTGGTGTTAAGTTTACGTAACGTAGACTGTACAGTGCCCTGCAAATTATGTCTGAAAGTGACAGTTCCCTTCTTCCCCGCTCCCCCGCGCAACTGTCACGAAGTCTAGCGTACAGCGAACGAACTTGGAGAAAATTTGTGTTGTTGATTTCCGGATAGGAAAAATAATTAGTCTCTTGTAACTAATTGGAACTGCGTCATCTTCCGAATGGTTGTTACGTAACAGAAAATGGCGGATGGTTAGGTCCACAAATTCAATTTCATATACTTTTTCGATATGGTGTATATTTAATTATGGGCGTAAATTTGTACGTTCGCGTTGATCTAGCCCGAATCTGACAGTAAATTGTATTCATTTTTATTTCTGTTTCATATTTATCGATTTATAACACAGTCGCTCCCGTGCCCCTCGCTTTTTGCTGTAATTACGCCATTGACTTAATGATGTTAATTAAACACATTTATGTTGTCAGCTGGTTCTACCTGCTGTAAATGAAATAAGTGGGGAAAAATAAGGTTTGCAATTTAAATTATTGGTAACGGACATGTTTTCGCTTCTGGTGTGCTTACGGTTGGCGTTGCATAGGGTGAGGGGGGGGTGAGGTTTAATTTTATCGGGGCCCAAACTTTTTTAAGCCGCACCTGAGTCCCCAGAAACGTCGCACGTTAGTGCTTAGCGCTGTGAAACGCCAGGGCGTAGCGCGGTAAAAGTTGCAACGTTTTGCTGTTCTGAAGCAGCTGTCATACGAGAGCCTCGCGTGTCCTGAGTGTTTATATCGGCTCTGAGGCACCACTAATGGCTCTCCGCTCTCCTGTGATGCAGCCAATCGATCTGCGAAAACAAAGCTGTCCGTCTATTCAGTAGAGGTAGAAACGTTTCGCGCTTACCAGACCGAAAATCAGTTTTCGAAACAAATGTTCCGTCCCGTTACGAAGGTAATTACATACTATATTTAACGTTCTGTATTCCTGCGAATGAAACTGTTGGAACATAATGAGCCCTTGCCGTTATTCAAGGTCACACAGCCTTCTGTTCGATCTCGCTGCGTTTGGCATGTCATTCACAGATTGAAGCCTCTCTGTTTGTGTATAGGTGAGACAGGCAACGTTTGCTGGCTTCTGCCAACTGTCTGCTGTGTGCTATCCCTACTTCTAATTCCTTATTCCCCTCAATGTGTAACGACAACATGGCGGACGCACCAACTTGTGACGCGGAATCGACTCTCAGTAAATTATTCTTAAATTAATTATAGTAATGGATCTTTGTGAAACATACTGCTTTTGTTGTGGCAATTCTTTTTGTAAAACGTGACAAATGAAACCATTGCGTGTCTTGAGAAATTCATATCCAGCTTTCGGTTTAATTGTGTTAACCGGTGAACTGTTTAGCATAGGCGGAGACAGGGCATAAGCATTATACGTTGTGATTCAACAAGTTACGAACATGGCAGCGATGCGAAACTTGGAAGTTATATGTTACAAATTCAGCTCTGGCAGAATCTCCACAAAGGTAGCCCATGACAATAGCAAGAGCACTAGATTTGTATGACTAGAAATCTACGCGGTACTGCAACGGGCTTTATGAACTCTGCTCGGAGTTCCTTGTTCTGCGCATGTGCACTCAACTTTCTCCGTTGCGGTTCCGCAACCACACGGCTGCTTATTCCGCCTCGTCACTTGACAGTCACTGCGGGGTGTCTATACTTACAGGCTGAGCAGGTGCGTGAGTTGGGCGAATGTGTCATTTTGCAGGCGTCGCAACTCGTTCCATGACAGGTACCTGAAACACAGAGCGGTGTGACGTCAGCAGGCGGTTGGGGAAGTGTTGCGGGGCAATGCTGCACCGAACGGACTGACGTCATGGTAATGCTCTAGGCTCGTATTCCGGAGGCACTCGGTTCGAATTTCGGCCGGGACACTGGATATCCTGACTGGGGTTTTATGTGGTTTTCCTCAGTCACTCCAGGCAAATTCTGCGATGTTTCCTCGATTTAAACCACGACCACTTCCTGTCCTCTATCCAGTGCTGCGTAGTCTAGCTACCGACGGGGCCGTGAAATTATCCACAGAAGAAAGTAACCCGCTTCCATTTTCTGGGTAGAAGTGTAGGGGAGGGTGGGGCATCCGCGTCATATGGGCCAAGTTGACTGTTGCCAACGTAGGCGTGTGTTCTCCCTGCTTTCGTTATACACAGTATTGGCATAGCGGTGGAACATTTTGCAGTTAAACAGCAGAATATTCATGTTGGCCTATTTTAACAGCGTCATATTTTAATATATATGTTTATGCTTGGAATGGAATTGAGGTGCGAAACGTCAAACATATTATTGTTGCCCGATAGGACATGTTCACCAGTGGCATATTCTTGAAAGATAAACACGCTTCCACCAAATGTCGGGACAGCAGTTGTAATGAACACAGTCCAATGGTTTGAACACTTTTTGATTGGCATGCCAGCCTTGCCCCGTTTTCCCCCAAGCGGCACGGAAACAAGAGATCAGAAGCGAGGCGAATGGCCAGGGGTTGCGACCGAACCAGCGACTGGTTGTGCGAATATGGATCGGCCATTCCTTTCTGAACTGAGCGACAGTTATGCAGGATGTGTAATCAGTATTAGACAAGCAGAGTTCGTTAGTGTATCTCAAACAGATTCCTCGTTTGAAACAAGAATTTCAGTTTAAAAGACGCGGGGGTGGGTTGAGAGTGACATGAAAAGATTCAGAGGAATTCCGCGTTGCCAGTCTCAGAAGCCCGACTCGGGTGTCCCACTCTTCTGCGCATTTATTACAGAACATCCCCCCCTTTCCCTGGGCCCGCTGCTCCGGGAATTCAGGGCAGTGCAGGCATCTCGTACTTGGATGTTCATTGCATGTGGCACAGCAGAATAACAAAACTAATTAAGATTAGTGTATCCTGGGGTGTGATACCGTGTAGTTTGGTAGATAGGCACCAACGTATCGGAGAGAACTTTTGCTTCCATCCTCAGGTTCACATTAAAATAAACTGTATACAATTTGATGTTTTACGGCTGTGAATATCACTCCTGTGGTTTTTGGTTTGTGATACCGTACAGTCAGGTTGGCGATTAACCAATGTCCGAGTGGAAAATAAGGCCTCCATTTTCAGGTTCTAAATGAACGGATTTGATACTTTTAGGGCGTGAATATTAATATTGCGGTTTTCGGGTAATGACCCCGTGTGGTCTTGTAGGATATTTCGGAGTATAACACTGCCTGCGACTTCAGTCTAAGGTTTCATATGTCTATGCCAGTTACGATTCATATTTCAGTCCTTTGATTTATGATACTGAAGCGTGTAGAGCCGTTGCTATGCAACGACCGCGAGATGGGCGCATATACCAGAACCGTTTCTGGGAAACGGTTCGGTAAACACATTCCCGTTGCTATTTAACAGATTGTTAATAATGCAACAGTTATACTAAAACACTGGAAGAGCTGTGTTTTCTACGTGGTCCGTGCCGGGAGGTTATAAGCGAAACGAGATTTTGAGCTTAGTCAGTTCTGTACAGGAGTCTGTTAAGAGAAGCAGAGGAATAGCCACTGTTGGAGCCGTTTCCCGGAAACGTCTAGTAACAGACCGAGAACTCTAGATTGTGTGCTATAGCGAATTGTAAAGTGTGTAGATAGCGATAGAGTTATGGTTATTTGTAGTTACAATCTGTAAGCGGTCAGCAAATCTATTCACCAAACCAAACCCATTCTATAGTCACTCATACACGTGACACTGTCTTCTACTGGTAGGTAGTTAATAAACGTTTCGGAGGAACATACTGGTTCCAGCTTCAGAGCTACTGTTTTGGTCGTGTTATTTCGTTATGAACCCGTCTCTGCCTGGGCATACATCCGACCTGCAATACATCTGTTGCCATAGCAACTGTAATGCCCCATAACCTGCCTTTCAGTTTTTGTAGCGGCGTCACATCTGAAGGACACCCTTTGTTTGTCCATTACACAGAAATAAATCAAACGGACTGAGGTCAGGTGAGCGGGGAGGCCATTGGATCCTCAAATGGGCATTCAGTGATTACCGCCAGACCTTCAGTCTGTGCTTCACAGTAATTTTGACGCATGCGCAGATACCCATTAGTGTTATTGCTTTTCGTGCGATAAAACGGGCTTACCGCTATTCTCGATTGGAGTGCGCCCAACACATACGTATTAGCAGCGCCTCCGTCGCGACGCTTTAATGTCGCCTCTTCAAGAAACATGACTTTACTCTCAAACCGCGACCTTCTTCTGCCTTCAGACGTGTCCGCGTGGCTTTTGCTGCCGCATTCTCTGATGTGTCGTAACATTTGGAGCTCAGTACACTACGCTAACATGCAGTGGCGAGTCCGTGTGTACTTACAAGTTCTGGAGGTTCGGCAGGTTCGGGAAGGCCCTGGGTTCGATACATGCGATGTGATTGTGGGTCAGTGACAGAACCTGCAGTGCGGGTAGCAGCACGAACCGGGGTACCGATTTCAGCCTGTTCTCACTCAGGTACCTGGGAACAAACGCTCGTTGATTAGTCATCTTTATCGAGTGAGTGACGTCACAAGAATCCCACGTGAACACAGAGGCGACCTAGGTGTCGCTTTACCAAGTAAGGAGATACACGTGCACAGACCCGGGGATTTTATTCTGCAGTTTCGCTCATTGCATATTATACCGTTTATGTAAATATGAAAGTATAACTAACTCCGTGGCCTGTAGTCCGCAAGCGAACTATACCGCCCGAGTGACCGCCGCTTTTCGGCGAAGTTAGTGCAAACATTTGCGGATAGAGGGTGTCGCGTGGTCAGCGCGACGGATCTCCACGGCCGTTAATTTCAGTTTTCTAGACTGGAGTCGCTGTTTCCTTCAAATAGCTCCTTAGTTATCCTCACGAGGCTGAGTGGACCCCATTCCAGACCCACTACTTCTAAAAAAATCTGGTAGAGCCGAGAATCGAACCCGGGACCTCTGGACCTGTAGCCTGGAACTCTGACCACTAGACCAGAGAGGCGATCAATGTTAAAGTATACCAAATTCTAAATATTGGGGTGTGACATTTCACGAGAGATTATCATCACATCCGAAAATGACCGTAATTTTAATTTGAAAGGTTTCTCCTTTCAAGAACTGATTTGTGGAAATATATCTTCTTGCTTAAATCTGTGTCCACATTAAAAATTGAGAGCTACTGTACTCCTGCATCTGCTACGGGAGCGAGCCGCGGTGATCTCGGTGATCTCGGCCGCCACACCACCATTACTTCTCAACAGACCGCCTACAGGCCTACTTACCCTGGCTTCTCCTTCCTTGAGCTTGCCTACACAAACTGCATGGCATCCGGGTTCGATGCACATGCAGTGAACTCTGTGTCTACTGCCCTTGTTGCCAGCAGAACGCGCATTGGGTTTGGTCGGGGCTTCTGACTGAGATAGAATTTCAGGGTGTGTGGGTTATATTTACAGTGCGTCACCATCCCTTCCTCCCAAAATGCTGCAGCACCCACTGTCCTGTTACTTCTCATGCCTCGGCCAGACGTCAGGTCTAAGAACACTGCCTCTGCCAGCGTTTTGAAGGAACTTGCTGCGTCCATTTTTACCCTGAAGATATAGGCAGCAGGTGGTCCCATCTACCAGACTACACGGCAGTACGGACCACACTCCCCATGCTAAGGATGAATCTGCCGCAGAACTTTCTGGTCAGTGAGAGAGTTCCTTCAGCAGTTGTTCGCTCAGTTAGCTGGTTAGTGAGGTTGTGCCTTAGCTCACGCGGCGGCGCCCCGAGTCATGCGGGGTTTGTGGTGGACAAAGTGACACTGGTGCACGTTTTCTCTAAGTACTTCGGTTTCCCCTGCCAGTTCTCTATCATCCGGGGCTGGTACAGTCAGTGTCACTCAGTGTCACCCCACCTCAATAAACTAACTAAAAACTTCTTAGTTAGTTAGTATATCCGTTAGTTACGTTGACGCTGATAGGTGATAAGCCAGAATCTTCCCTCTCGATTTTTGAAAGAAAAATTGAAAGGGGGGGAATATAGCAAATATAAACACCAAAAACTGGAATTGTTTGTGACCTTGGCGACATCAATGTTTCGATATGGAGACCCATGACTCTTTGATGGCCCGTCAAAATATTATTAAAAGACGTGAACGTAAGTTTGCAAACAAATGCTATTACTGCCGCCCCCACCCCCGCCCCGCCCCTCACCTGTCATCAGACGTGTGCTTCAAGACATGTCTCTCCGGACAGTGGGCGCATGACATGAATGCCGGCTCATTCGCGCGGTCGCGCCCAATTAGCAGATCTTGTTCTCTCAAGACATAGGAAGTAGCCCCCCCCCCACCTGCAACACATGGCTTGTGTATTTCCGGATCAAGCGACAACAGGAGAGTCCCATGGGAGGCGAAGTAGGTTGAATCAGCTTACACCCTTTCTTGGAAGGGTTGCTATGGTGACCAGGTCGGGCAGTGGATCGGCTAGGAGATTAAACTAGACAATGTCATATGAACAGTTCTTAGAAACTTCATTTGGCTCGAAATTCCATAAACCCAATCAAGGCAGTTCATTTTGTTGCCTTCACAATCTCCCATCCCCTCGATCTGCTCCATTCTGAATATCAGGCACAAAGCAATTTTGTATTGACTGCATAAGTTCGTCATTTCTGTCCGATTTATCTATTGGCATGTTTTAATTAACTTGTCTTCGCATCTCTCGCCCCTTTTTACAGCAGTTGGAGGCGGACCTTGCGGAAAAAACGCGCTGCATTAGTTTAAATATCACGTCCCTTTCTTCTGCACAGAGAGATGAATGGTTTCAGAGTTCCCTGCGAGCACGTGTTAGTGGAAACTCTCTGCGCAGCCGCGGCCGGCCATTAGCATTAAGCGGTCAATATCTCAGGAAGAAATGGTGCAACTATTATGCGTAGTTTTTAGATTTAATCCATATTTAATGCTACAAAGGCGGAAAAAATAAGTTTTGGCCATAATAAGCCGAAGGAAATTATCCAGGACCTGAGCAGTGCTAATTAACCTGATTGTAAAAGAATTTGTTAGTTCACGTCAGATCATTTTGTTAACCACTGTGGACAAGGGCCGCGGAATTTACATTTCCTTATTAATTCAGAATGATAATTTGGAGCAGCAAGTCAAAGTCAGAGTTACTTTACGACTGGCGGTTTAGAGTCAATCAGTTCGCCTCAGCGCCAACCCCCTTGAGACTCACGACCAGAGGTCTATTTTCAACTGAACCCTTGCGGTCATAGTCCTTATGTAACATTCTCTGTGACGAGAAGGCGGGTTTGGATTAACAGTTTTATCTCTCAATAATATATATAAATTTATTCCGTACCTCACAGGAAACATTACGTCTCCTCTACAGAGACCAACCGGTTAATGCTGTTTAGGGAAACAGCCGCTGTTTACTGTGAGAGCTATGCGGAACACACAGATACACTCTGTGGGCAGAATGCAGAGTTTTAGTATGTTCAGTCCGTACCTCACAGGAAACATTACGTCTCCGCTACAAAGCCCAACCCGTTAATGCTGTTTAGGGAAACAGCCGCTGTTTACTGTGAGAGCTATGCGGAACACACAGATACACTCTGTGGGCAGAATGCAGAGTTTTAGTATGTTCAGTCCGTACCTCACAGGAAACATTACGTCTCCGCTACAAAGCCCAACCGGTTAATGCTGTGTAGGGAAACAGTCGCTGTTTACTGTGAGAGCCATACGGAACACACAGATACACTCTGTGGGCAGAATGCAATGTATTCTAGTGTTTAAGCAGGTGGTACCGCTGTGGTATAATCACTGCGCTTTGAAGGGTTAAATACAGTATCTATAATGGAAGGGCTTATCAGATGTCCTCCATTCTACTCGTAATAGATCTGTCGGAAATCCAGACATTTTCTGATTATGACAGGCATTCGTGTTGAGTAATTTCGCGGTCTGACCCCACCTGCTTTTGTTTGAGACCCCCAAACTGAACTGAGAGATCACTCACAGTATCTCGAGACGCGAAAGCGGCTTGAAGACGTCGCCATCCACCTCAGCAAGTAGATTATGCCTCAAGTCTCTGGAACAGACAACAGACAGAATTGCAGCCTTGTCACGGATAATCCTCAGATATACCTCCATCACGTTCCGAGCTCTGCAAACAATTAAACGTAACATAATACAACGCATTTAGTATCTGTATACAAAGGGTGTTCGAACAGTTGCCACAATGCACGCAAGAGAGAGTAACCGCCTCCCAAGTTCTATAAGCAATTCAGAGCACACAACATTACGCCTGTGGACGCTGTATAGGTGTACAGCGGGTGTCTGAAGACCCCCCACAGATTGTAAACATGCATGTAATACAGTGTAAAACTTCATAGGCTGCCGAGTTCTGGAAACAAACATAACACCTCAATAATATTACATGCTTGGTTGTCTTCAAACAAAGGTGTCCGAAACGTTCCAACAAAATCTGCAAATACTGGCAGATTACAAGGCTGTGTGGCTCCTGTTTGAGACGCAATGTCCTTACTGACGTATACTGTGAAACTGTGAATTTTGATTGGCTGAGAATACATACAATGGCGGGCTGTTGTGATTAAAATAAACATATTTTTTATTCTAGAAAAAGAAGGAATTTCTGGCAAAGCTCAGCAATTTGAGAGGCCATAAATGTTTTATTTAGCATACTGGTTAATTTGTTAGTTCGTCAGTTACTTTGTCAATCTGCTTCCTGTCGAAGGGGCACCTAGCACGCATAGATGGTGTCCATGTTGAATTTTAATCACGCCACCTGATAAGATCCCATGGGATATTTGAGTACATATGGGATTATAATATTAAAGTGGATCTCACATGAATCTGACTTGGACGTGTAGATGGTATTTATCTGACTCAAGACAGTGTTCAGTGATGGGCACTTGTGAGCATGGTGATTAATTTTCGTGTTCCGTATGAGGTAAATAATTTTTTCAGCTGAAAGACCGTTAGCTTGTCAGGAAGGACCATGTTCCGCGGAATCAGTTTTTGAAGACTGCCCCGGTGAATCCTGAAGGCGCGGACGAACATCTCTCTGACCGCGCTCTCGTTCTGAGCGCCGTGCTTATGCGGCAACTTCTCCGCAACGAGTGTTGTGCGTGAAGTCTGATGTGCAGGCGATATCTGTAGGGCGAACTGTGCTCTATGAAATCGATCGAGTGTGGTGTCATGTGATACATCAGTATCTCGGAGCGCATCGCGTCGGACTGTAGGATGATCTGTGATTAATGACTTGTAATGGATTCGGAAGGAATCGAACCTTGCCAGATCGATACAGCATCCCGGAGTTTGCCTGGAGGAGACTGAGGAGTGCAATGAAAAACCTCAGTCAGTGTAGCCGGTGACCGGGATCAGATTGGAACCAAGCACCTCCCTAATACAAGTACACAAACCAGCTCGGTAAGAATGCATGGATCTGTGCCTCCGCTGTCCCATACGTCTTCATGATCCAGTGCTTAATTAGACACAGGTGCAGCTTTATGCCACGAAGTAGATCCACAGACTTGATATTGTTCTCGTTGCGGTGTGCGAAACGAGCAGGTTTGCACGGCGGTAACATTCTAGACATGTTCCAGAGGTACTCTGTTCCAGTCTCGGCCGAGGCACTGGCGACGTCACCATCTACAGTGTGATTCATTTGGACGAGGCTCCAAAGTAGTCATTATACGTGTAGCACGCAGTAAACAAACTACCGATGAAACAAAACATGGCAAATGTGTGTACTTTGCAGCACTGTCACGGTACTTTCATGCCCGGTTCGCGTCACTTCCTTCAGTCTGCGATCCCTCCCGCCATGCTGGCTGCAACATTCGCGTCCTGTAGGCCTGTGTCTCCAGGTGGAAGGGAACAAATTTTGACATCTGCTATAGGCCAATTATCTCCACATCTACCGAGGTATGCACTCCTCAAGTTTCGTTTCCATCGGTAAATTACTGCGTGATTTATAATTATTAGTTCGGTGTCTCCTCCGAATGAATCACCCTGTATAATCCCATTATTCGCCGCTATACACTGACAGCGCCTAAGAAAACATACAGAAGCGAAAAGGAAGCTTGTTGACCGGGAGCTGCAGTTACCGTAACGAGGTTAAGAAGCAACTCCCAGTCCGGCCGTATATAAATTCAGTCAGGCCTGCGAAAGAAAACATGTCACATCTTCCGAGTGAAAGTATCCGGCAGTCGAAACAACACGTCGACAGGAGGGGATGGGAGCCAGCACAGTAAAACGGAGGGCGAGCAGGCTGGCTCACCGGTAACGCACTCCAAATTCAATGGGTCCTGATCTTGAATGAAAAATCTCATTTTCTTGTCTTCTTTCCCGAATAGTCTTATATTGTATGTGAAGTCGTATAGTCCGGTTAAAGTTCACCGACGTTTCGGAGGATCATTTTATTTCCGTCTTCGGTGTCGAAGTAGCTGGAGTGAGAATATAGTTGTTTCATACGTAGCAATATTTCGACAGGGCTGATGAGTCAGATCCACGGAGGGGGGAGGAGGAGATTTGAACCGAATTCGGCCCTGAAGACGGAGACACTAAAACACTACGCTATGTTACAACTCAGAAGTTCACGACATACAACTTTTACTTTTTATGTACATATATGAGTTGGGCTTCCATGAGCTTACTTACAGTTCACGGAGGTTGTGCAGGTTGCGGAACGCTCCCCTTGGCAAAGCGGATAGCCGATTGTGTCTGAGGATTCTGCAACAAGACAGAAACAACAGACGAAAATAAAAAGTTGATGTATAGGCCTACACTCCGAAAATATTTACAGTCCCGCATTTTTTTTAATGAAGCAGACATGACTGTTTCAAAATACAGTATGAGTCACGGAAAAGAACAAACCGACGTTTCGAAACTCTCACGTATTTGCGAGGCTACGGGCTGGAGAAGCAGAGGATTTGAAATCAATTTCCGGTGGAGGGAGCAGAGATACTTTGCCACCGCGACGTTCGAACTGGTGTGTGCCCAATTTAGCATCCTCTCCACTGGGTACCCTGGGGCTCCTTCACAGGGGTAAAGAGGCCAGGGCTTGAAGCTCACCATTCGTTTGCATATAGCACCGAGGTTAAAAGTTTGTGAAGCTGTACATCCATTCGCCCATACGTCCACCCTTCTGGAGTGATGCTTAATTAAGCACACGGGCAACTTAACTCTTTTATTGATTTAAGTACGAGATTTGAGACTGTCACAAGATCGGAGTCTTGTGGCATGTGCCTCCGTGTAGTTTGGTGAAAGGGTGTTTCTTTTAGTATACTTGAAATGACACAGACACGAGTTTAGCTTGGCCTAGTTCCAAACTCTGTCCCAGCACGTCTCTGCCTTGTGGAGGCGAGGAAATTGCAGAACCCTCAGCCTTCCCCAACACAAGCCAGCAACAGACTTGCGCAGTACTCACAGTGTGTCCAGCTGGTTCTCAGGGCGCAGAATGGGTTCGGGCAGAGTGGCCAGGCGGTTGTTGTCCAAATGTCTGCAAGCGCGGGAGAAACATTGAACTTACTGTTAGCCACAGTTAGATACCAGCCGCCATTAATAAGTAACCAGTATTAACCATCGAGCATCATACACTAGCATTAACCAGAATTAACTATCAAGAGACATTAACTCTTAATCAGCATTAGGAATAACCAATATTAACCATTACTGAGCGTCAGTAGTGTGGGTGCGACGACTGCATTGTCACGGAAATAGAGAAATGGGAGTCGACTCAGCCAGGCTTAATTGAGGATGGATTCTAAGACGAGATACCGATCAAATTGTGTTCAGCTTCTAACATTCAACACAAACTCTGTGACAGTTGTTGCATATGTTGGGTCTGTGGACAAGGCTGTCAGTCGCACTGAAATCTGTGTATGACAGTAGCACAGGACTGACCAGGCACAGGATGTCTTCGGTGGTGATATTTTGAGATGATGAAGCACTAGACTTTGCAGTACACATCAACTCATATCGATTATTTTAATAATATTTTCTCTATTTTGAAAAATAAGAGGAGGTTTACGAGACTACCTTGCTGTCTGTATATCCCTGTTTATGCTAGCTCTTCATGTGGTTCATAATTTGTTGTATGTGAAACACTTCTCAGGTTGCGTCATCGCCAGATAGTGACATAAATCCTTACGTTCTTGTTATAAAGTTACTGGTTGTGTTTGCAGCATATATGAGAACCAAACTCGCCATTCCGGGGTTCCCCCTTCATAAGGCTGCGCGCGCATCCTCCCAGATGTGGCTCTCTGCAGCGCACACAGCTGCTCTCAGTCGGCCCTCACACCTGCCCACATTATACTCGCTGCGAATTAATTGCGAGATTATGAGCAGTTGAATGCGATACTTACAGAGTGTGCAGGCTTGGAGCCCTCGAGAAAGTAGCGTCTTGCAGCACCTCTACCCCTGAATGGGACAGCACCCTGCAACACATCGAACAACAGCTAACTGTTTCCTTCACTGAGTGAATATGGGTGTGTTTGTTGCTGAAGTTGGTTAGGAACTGGTGTTTCAGGCGGGCTTCACGAAGTAAGAAATCACGTCTTATGTGCAAGTCATGTCTGCCCGTCTCCCTCGCCGTGTCTAAGTCTCTGAATGATTTTCCTTAAAAATCCCACATGTGGGTTTCGACCCAGAAGTGTTGGGAACACGGACTGCCAGCCGCACAGAGGAGCACCAAACCGCGGCTTGTACAGGTCACGTGCCCCACAAACCGTTTCATATGCTTTGTTGAGTTTCGCGTTCACTGACTCGCGTTTCATTATTCCCGTTTCAAAGTAAGCTTAATAAACCTCAGAAAACGCTGTTAGTAACCTCATTTACTGCACTGTGAAGTACACGACTTCCAATCTTATTAATAGTTTTTTTCCTGAATTTTCGACTTCAGATAGTTAAATGCGTTTTGCGGGCAGCGCATGTGCCCGTCTCAAAACGTTCCAATTGCAATTGCTTGTTATGGAGCATGAAGTGTGATATGCTTACAAAGTGTCGAGATCCGGAAGTGTAGCCATTACGTCTGAGTTCAAAACCGGAAACGAACATCCAGTTAGGTCCCTGAAACAAAAAATAGATGTCTCTTTAGTACGGAGTGTTACTTGCAGACTCGGAAGTGTCACTAAATATTTCTGGCTCTCAACACACACAGAATATTACAAAAAGTACTAAAATATTACGTGACCAAATGTTTAAAAGACTAATTGAAATATTTTGACGGAAATGTAATAATAATAATAATAATTATAATAATAATAATAATAATAATAATAATAATAATAATCCAGTTAACCCTCGTTAATTCCGATGTCGGATAATCCGGATCGAAATATGAAGAATTAGAAATTCTGTACACAGTTGAGTGCATACTGCAGAAGTCACGTGGGATTTAGGAGCAAGAGGACTTTCAGACCCGGTTGAGGGCAGCTGGAGAGACTGAAACCACGCGAGAAAATATCCAAGATTGGCTTGAGCTGGATGAAGGAGACCCTGGATTTCAGCTTTTTGCTTTTTATAGTTTTTAAACAGAAGCTGTGCTAGCAGAGTGACATTTTTGTTTATTTCCATTAGAACTACTTGAAAAGGTAAAGGTCACGCTATCCCTGTAACAGGCCATGAAGGCCCATGCGGTTCTGAAAGTTGAGGCTCCCACATTTTCTAGACAATCGGCTCAAAGATGGCAGTGAGGGTGTCAGCCTTACGCGCCGGCCGCCCGTTTACCCCCAGGAAGGTTTCTGGTACTCATTTCTGTTAGAGGCTGAGTGGACCCCAGGGCCATAGTGCGGCTGGAAGGTTAGGTCAATTGAAAAATCCACCTCATCAGGACTCGAACCAGCGAGCTTCCGGTTTGTAGCGTAGTGCCCCAACCAACTACGCTACCGCATGCCCCCTCAGCACTGCCTATATTATTGAATTTTCCATTTATTTATTTTTAAAGTTTTTTGTCTTTTAGGGCCATCTTTTGCTTCACTGAACCGGATTAACGAGTGTTTACTGTAGTACATTATTATAATGAACTGACAGTGGTTACAGTGATGCAACTCCGTTCGTTCAGTTCGTTGCTGTTACCGTGCTAATTCGACGCACAGGAGCCAGCTGCAGCCGCGCCACAAACAAATCGAAAAGGAAAACAGTGCATAATCGTGGGACACTGCACTCCATGGTGCTTGTGGAACAACTATAATAATAACAGAAGTAAACTTACTTCAGTGAAATGCTATTTTTCGCTCGCTTATTTGAAACTCTCTAATCCACGAAACAAATTCCTTCTTGACAAGCTGACAGTTTCCTAACTGAACAAGAAATTTCCCGGCTGTTACGTAACACAAAGCTTCATTGCCCTTTTCACAAGAGATTTCAGATGTTATGCTTTAACATACTTTCTCGGCGACTCCTGAAGTTTTTCGAAACAGTTAAACAAACGTGATGGACGATCTGTGAATGTTTCGGAACTTCTAATGTCAACAGTCAAAAATGGTACTGCAAACACAATCTGAGATTACCGAAATCTCCTATTTTCGACAGTAATTAGATGAAATATCTTGCCACATGAATTTATGTCTAGGTGTTTATTAAATTCCTGTTTACGTAATTTTAAAACATTTTTGGTTCGTATTATTGTAGATCCCCGGAAGGTACACCTCAGCAGTTCGCGGTTTAATTGTCAACGTGTTACGTTTGATCATGCCAAGCGATTAGCCAGCTCTGTGTGGAATAGCACCACTAATTTACCCACGATATATCTTCTTTTGTAAACGGAACAATGCTTCCAGCCCGCATACACAGTTGAAAGATGGCAGGAGGTAGTTGCCTGTTCCGACTGCGCGACTGAAATATGTATGGGTTTTAGAACAAAAGGGAACTTGATTCACAGATAGCGTCAAAGGCATTAAAGGGCAAAATGTAAGCCACATGAGGGAGTTTCAGGGGTGTGAGCACAAAGTGGCACTTGAGAATGGGACAGGCACTTAGGTTTCCTTTCCACGAATATTTCTGACACGTCTTAGGGAACCATCGATCAGTCATGTGGCTGTATGGAAACAGCTCTGTTTAATGTTTATTTTTTGCATCATGTTATGTGTTATCATACAGTGCGTTCAGGCAAGGAGGAAACTTCGCAACACCGCTGACCGGGCCCAACATTCCTCACAGATCGCTGCTGTAGCTGCTGATAGCAGAATGAGCCCTTAGCGCTGATAAATGACTCATTCCGTTATCGGCAGTTACAGCAGCACTCTGTGAGAAATTTTGCGCCCAGTCAGCGGTGTTGTGAAGTTTCCTCCATGCTCGAACATCCTGTATAATGGTGTTCTTAGTGTATCAGTCGACACAACAGTTCTGTGACAAAGAAACCAGTGCTACTGTCTTAGCATTCGTTTATTGTGTGGAAGTATTGCTACATGTTTCGACCCTGTCGGGCTATCATCAGGCAATCATTACATGAATATGTCATTCAGTATTGGTTTATTTACCGATATGGATCAAGAACGGTTTGTGTTTTAACTTTGACTATCAAATTTAAATAGTTCGTTTAAAAATAGAATGAAACTAAAATTTCAATTTGCATAATACATAAAATTTATAAGTCTTCTGATTACATTTCTGGCGTAATGGAGTATGTCATTCAAAATCGACATTTATTAGGATTCGGCGCTGTTCTTTTTAATTTCTTAGTATATCTGAAAGCAAATTATCGACATTTTATTTTTTAATTCAAATTATCGTTGAAATAAAAATTTAAAAATTGAAATTCTTCCGTTTACGTTTGTCGTTGCGTAGCATAATGTTTGGGACCTTGCTGGAAGTCGGCGTTGTTGCTTTTTATTTCTTGATGTAGCTGAAAGCTTTGTTTAAATCGATAGTTTGGCAAGACACGGCACAATCGCGCGTGCAAACTGAGTTTCACATTTAGAATGTTGAGTCCGGGGAGTGTCTGCCTCCCCGCAACTAGGATATGCTAAACTCCCGTCTGCTACTATCTCCTGGTTTGCTTAAAGACGCTGCCTCCAGTTCACGCTGTGTAGCGTCGAGTGACTCAGTCATGATGAATTGCAAACGATTTGGAAGGAAGCTGTCGTGACAAACCCGGGATTGGAGAGATACCATGAAAATCGTCAGAAGAGCACGTGTCCTGGCCGAGGCTCGAACTGGGCAGCTCCAGAATGCAAGTCAGAAGTGTCACCGCAGCGCTAACTTGCTCGCTCGACGATATTTCGTTTCGACTTGGAGCACGGGCGTACTTTAATGACAGCAGGGGAAGGTGATCACGTTAGCGAAATATTGAGCCAGAATTGAGCGCGAGGTGATCAAAACAAATGCCTGCTATCATGGCGCCATCTCTTTATAAGTGTTTTCCGCTGCAAATATGATGAGTCGTTGGCGGGAGATCAGTCCAACCCTCACGGAAATTCGTTTCATTCCACTGTAGGACTGAATCCAACGGACTCAATGATGTGTTTGTATTCCTTGTCAAATGAGTGAGACAAACTCGAGGAGTGCGCGATTGGCGGGACTTGTACCACGCATGGGATGGATGCGTCAACATTAAATGACCCCACGGAGCTGAACCCTTCTTGAGAAGCTGCCAGTCGCTCAGCTACTCAAGAATTTNTTCAGGGGTGTGAGCACAAAGTGGCACTTGAGAATGGGACAGGCACTTAGGTTTCCTTTCCACGAATATTTCTGACACGTCTTAGGGAACCATCGATCAGTCATGTGGCTGTATGGAAACAGCTCTGTTTAATGTTTATTTTTTGCATCATGTTATGTGTTATCATACAGTGCGTTCAGGCAAGGAGGAAACTTCGCAACACCGCTGACCGGGCCCAACATTCCTCACAGATCGCTGCTGTAGCTGCTGATAGCAGAATGAGCCCTTAGCGCTGATAAATGACTCATTCCGTTATCGGCAGTTACAGCAGCACTCTGTGAGAAATTTTGCGCCCAGTCAGCGGTGTTGTGAAGTTTCCTCCATGCTCGAACATCCTGTATAATGGTGTTCTTAGTGTATCAGTCGACACAACAGTTCTGTGACAAAGAAACCAGTGCTACTGTCTTAGCATTCGTTTATTGTGTGGAAGTATTGCTACATGTTTCGACCCTGTCGGGCTATCATCAGGCAATCATTACATGAATATGTCATTCAGTATTGGTTTATTTACCGATATGGATCAAGAACGGTTTGTGTTTTAACTTTGACTATCAAATTTAAATAGTTCGTTTAAAAATAGAATGAAACTAAAATTTCAATTTGCATAATACATAAAATTTATAAGTCTTCTGATTACATTTCTGGCGTAATGGAGTATGTCATTCAAAATCGACATTTATTAGGATTCGGCGCTGTTCTTTTTAATTTCTTAGTATATCTGAAAGCAAATTATCGACATTTTATTTTTTAATTCAAATTATCGTTGAAATAAAAATTTAAAAATTGAAATTCTTCCGTTTACGTTTGTCGTTGCGTAGCATAATGTTTGGGACCTTGCTGGAAGTCGGCGTTGTTGCTTTTTATTTCTTGATGTAGCTGAAAGCTTTGTTTAAATCGATAGTTTGGCAAGACACGGCACAATCGCGCGTGCAAACTGAGTTTCACATTTAGAATGTTGAGTCCGGGGAGTGTCTGCCTCCCCGCAACTAGGATATGCTAAACTCCCGTCTGCTACTATCTCCTGGTTTGCTTAAAGACGCTGCCTCCAGTTCACGCTGTGTAGCGTCGAGTGACTCAGTCATGATGAATTGCAAACGATTTGGAAGGAAGCTGTCGTGACAAACCCGGGATTGGAGAGATACCATGAAAATCGTCAGAAGAGCACGTGTCCTGGCCGAGGCTCGAACTGGGCAGCTCCAGAATGCAAGTCAGAAGTGTCACCGCAGCGCTAACTTGCTCGCTCGACGATATTTCGTTTCGACTTGGAGCACGGGCGTACTTTAATGACAGCAGGGGAAGGTGATCACGTTAGCGAAATATTGAGCCAGAATTGAGCGCGAGGTGATCAAAACAAATGCCTGCTATCATGGCGCCATCTCTTTATAAGTGTTTTCCGCTGCAAATATGATGAGTCGTTGGCGGGAGATCAGTCCAACCCTCACGGAAATTCGTTTCATTCCACTGTAGGACTGAATCCAACGGACTCAATGATGTGTTTGTATTCCTTGTCAAATGAGTGAGACAAACTCGAGGAGTGCGCGATTGGCGGGACTTGTACCACGCATGGGATGGATGCGTCAACATTAAATGACCCCACGGAGCTGAACCCTTCTTGAGAAGCTGCCAGTCGCTCAGCTACTCAAGAATTTCCCAATATCTTTTGAAACTTGAATGTTCATTACCGTGTTCACAAGAGCCCGCCACTGGTCCGTATCCTGAGCCAGTTCAATCCAGTCCATAACTCGCCATACTATTTCTCTAAGATCCATTTTAATATTATCTTCCCACCTATGTACAAATCTCCTTAGTGATCTTTTTCCTTTTGGCTTTTCCATCAGATCCCTATGCGCATTTCTCTTCTCCCCATGCCCGCTACATGCCCTGCCAATCTCATCCTCCTTGACTTGATCACTCTAATTATATTTTGTGAAGAGTACAACAATATAGTAAGTGCAAAACATGAAGAAAAGACCACTCGAGTGACCTCGGCGTAGATGGTAGGTTCTTAAAATAGCAGAGGGCCTTGGTAAGTATTTAGTACATTCGTTTGAAGAGTACAATCTTTTGTGATGTGGCGCAGAATAGTTCAGTAGAAAGTCAACCGACGTTTCGAAAAAAAGTAGTGCTTCCATTTTTTAATATCGAAGAATTAGCAGGATAGCAACAGTAAAACCCTATTCTTTCTGCTTGCTTTTCTTACTCTTTTACCCTGAAAAGGGAGGCGGTACGTTTCACCGAAACGTCGTCGGCCTTCCACCGGTTACACGGTGTCACATGTAAGCACTCTTCATAGTTACTGCCCTGAGAATGCAATGCATTCATTTATTTTAGGATGTACAAGTGGTGGGCTTTTGTGGACACGGTAACGAACCTTCAGGTTCCATAAATGGCCGTCGCGTTACCGCACGACACTTACGCGACTGCCGTCGTGACCAGAGTAAGTTAGCTCAGCGGTAACGCTTCAGATATGTTTAGGGGTGGCTTGTTGGCCTGTCTGCCGGTGCATTAACTATCCTGGTTTTCCTCAGTCTCTCCAAGCAAATTCTGGGATAATACCTCTACTTGGGCCACGACCGCTCTCTCCGACGCCCTTTCCAATTAATCATCATGCATTCGTAGCTGTGTGGTCTTAGGTGCTGACGTCATTAAAAGGGTTTTGTGAGCGTGACGTTTGTCATTGTCATGATGCAGTTTCAGACTGCCGCAACAGTGAACTGTAGAGCGTTAACATGTTGTGTAGTAGGTCACGAACTAGCGAGCAGCTTTCTGTGCCACTGTTTCCTGTCTCTTCTGTGAGTACTGAGAATATTTTCATGCCGATATGTGAAATGCGAGGTAAAGCTGAAGCTATCCCTGTAACAGGCCCTAGAGGCCCATAGGGTGTGAGACGTTGAGGCTCCCACATTTCCTAGACAATCCGCTCACAGATGGCGGTGAGGTTGTCAGCCTTACGCACCGGCCGCCCATTACCCCCCAGGAAGATTCTTGGTACTCATTTCTGTTAGAGGCTGAGTCGACCCCAGGGCCATAGTGCGGCTGGAAGGATTAGGTTAATTGATAAATCCAGTGACTTAATCGGGACTTGAACCCGCGACCTTCCGGATTTTAGAATAATGCCTCAACCAACTACGCCACCGCGTGCCCTCTATGTGAAGTGTTGCATGCTATATAAGTAAGGCTGTTTACTACTGACTGTTTGTGCGTGTTATTCGTGGGACGCAGCGTTAAATTTCTATCTCGACGTATCACTCGACAACGTGTAGGATTGGACAGGAATACGGGGGAAAGCAGGGGAAGTTAACAGTACGAAAGCTTATGTAACAACTGGTGGGGCTTCCTGCCGAGTTCTCAGCGCGTGTTGCATACTGCACAGGTACAAGGCGACATACAGACAGACAGACAGGCAGCCACTGACGAGCGTGCAGTGAGGGACATTGCATGCAGACGCGAGGTGGGGATAGGGGTGCATGTCCTCTTGACTGCATACTTACAGAATATCTATCCCGCTTGTAGGTAGTCCTACCGGTGGTCGGGAGAGGCCCGCGTTGTTGCAGAGCACAGATCGGCCCACGCATGCGCACTGAGACGAATTCCAGTCCCTCAGCTCTGAAAGAATTGGTTATGGTGTAAGGGTATGTAGCGTAGGAAACAGATGTGAAATTTTCTGTTTGCTTCCTTCCCCTGGGCTAATGCAGAGCACCCGAGGATATTATTAAATGGACGCCATACTGTTGCCAATGTGTACGGTGGCCACTGCTGTTAAGTTTTTGGGCGCGATTCGAATCCTCGTTTAATCGCATAAGCAAATTTTAGTTTCTGAGTTTTATTCGTCGCACAGTGCGCCACGACGGCGGCAAGGAAAGCGACCATATCCCGCGCGCATGCGCATATCTTGCCCAACTTCCTCCTGATGCTCAGGACCAATCTTCATTCTAGTTTGCGCCTTCTGCCGTTGTTGCTCCTCATCCTCACTCATATTCGGGCGGCGGGGGAGGGGTTCTCGGTTCGGATCTCGGACGTGACACTGATTATCCTGAGGATCTTCCTGGTTTTCTTCAGTCCGTCCAGACTGTTTTCACCCTTTCATTGGACGCTGTATAGTCTGGCAACTGACAGCTTCACAAAACAATCCATTAACCCGGAATCTGCATCCTTATACTTAATTTGTTACCTGCCTAGCCCTGCTGTTTATTTTCTGTCTTTTATGCCGTTCGCTCTACGCTCTCTATGCTCCTACTCTTTCTGTACTTTCCTTTTCTCTGTTTCGCGTGTGCCCCTCTGGGCGCGCTTGTAATTGAGTTCGATGAGTGAAGAGCGGACGGTCTCACTGTAGAGCCTTCATCTCGCGTTCAAGCAGTTGAGGCGGCTTCATGATTGATAGCGACCCCGCACTCTGTCCATTTCATTCCAGCAGTTCCTTTCTTCGGTGATTTTTTCTGAAGGCGTCATCATGCCTTCAGGTTCAGTGAACCAGGTCAGCCAGCAGTCGGATGCTAGGATGGTGCATCAGTGGCGAATTGGAAAGGATTCGGCAGGAGACGGTCATAGACTACTCGAAGAACAATGCCGGAATTTTCCTGAAGTTACTGATGAAAACTACGAAAGTTCCCGGTCAGGATAGCTTGTGTTCTGGTCGATATTCGAACATAGGACCTCCGGAACACGATTGTATATCGTCATCGTTACACAGACCAGGTCATTATGTAAAAGGCTAACTGTCGCTTGCATATGTATATATCATCATCATCATCATCAGTAATCTGTCAGACGACAGGTCCACAGTCTCTTCCAAAACAATTCCTCCACTTGATGCGATGTATATATATATTGTGTAAATTAGCAAGTAGTTACGAACAGAAGCAGGAGATGGACAGCAGTAAACAGCAGTCGAAATATGCCTGAGTCTGTATTTCCCATGAAAGGTTCGGACAATTCCTCTAGATAGCAGTGCCCTTTGTGCGCAAAACGAGGATTCAAGTCGCATCCAAAAAGTCTACCGGAACACCTATACATATCTTTAACAGCCGTGGCCACCGTACATACTGGCAGCGGTAATGAGTAGATTTCATAGTAGCTGTGGGTGTTCTCTGTTAGGTCCGCGGCAGAAAACAGGAACCTGCAGCCCCACCCCCCAATTAAATCCAAATTTTGCCCCGTTTCAAGCCTCTCAGCTTCAATAACAAAATTCCGACCATGCGCAGTAAAGCCCGTGCTCAACTCTTTCCCTCCGCTCGTAACAAGGTCCAATTTCTCACCCTTCACCTTCTTCACTTCCCAGCGCATTACCCTGTCCCAGACGTATTTCTCCGAAAAGGAGAGCCGCGACGCCCCGGGAGCCCCCCCTCCCCCCAGCCTCCAGCTCGCTTGTCTCCCTTCTCGTATTTATATACAGGCCTATCGCAGGAGACTTGAACACGTGACCTTTTGTGGGCTGGATATGTATCAGTGGGCGAGTAGGCAGCAGAACAGTCCCCGAAACTTTAGTGAACCTACTTCAGTCTCTCCATGGGCAGCCCACGTGATGTTCTCACCCATTCGAAAGTAATTTCAGTAAAAACTTTTCCGGAAGTTGTCCATTTCGTAAGCAGTTTATTGTTGTACCCAGTGTCTTCTTAACAACAAAGCAGCAGCACGTACGTCGGGGAATTCCCGTGTCCTTTTGTTTTCCTCATTGCCGGCACCAGAATGCACGGGGCACAGGAATAATTAACAAAACAATTCATATTATTTGGTATCAATAATTGTACATTTTCTTGTTTCAGCGTTGTATCTTTTTTTTCATAAGTGCAGCGGGGAATCCTGCCCCCTCTGACAGCCGCCACTCAGCAGGCTGTATTTACGTTGCTACCCCTGGATGCGCAAAATGTAACTTGTCCCCGTTTTGCGAGTAACCTGTTTGTCTGTCACGTCAGAACTGGGGAAAACAACTTGTGCGCGGTGTCCCTTTGCCGGTCGCAGTTAACTCCAAGTGTTTCCCTCCCACACCCTGTCGCCACTAACGAAATAAGTAATTTCGAATTTACCACGTGACACTGTAGAGCCGCAAGCCCGATCGAACGTTTCCACTCTGACCAGAAGCTTCCGTGCTCCAGTGGGGCACGTCACCGTCAGTTAGTGACGTAGACCGTTGCGTCATCATTAGAAACTTACTAGATTCTGTTTCCAACCATGTAAGTAAACTAGAGCTATCCCTGTAACAGGCCATGGAGTCCCATAGGATTGTGAGACGTCGAGGTTCCCACATTTTTTAGACAATCGACTCACAGATGGCGGTGAGGTTGTCAGCCTTACGCGCCGGCCGCCCGTTTACCCCCAGGAAGATTCTGGTACTCCTTTCTGTTAGAGGCTGAGTCGACTACAAGGCCATAATGCTGCTAGAAACATTAGGTCAACTACAAAAATCCAGTGCCCTCATCAGGAATCGAACTCAGGACCTTAGGGCATTAGCGGAGTGCCTGAACCAACTACGCTACCTTTGGTACGTTGGGAAATTCAGGTTTGCTTACACAGAACTTCCCTTCCGAGCGGTTACCTGCACGAGGTGTGACGGAGCCTGCTTCAAATGTGGATGGAATTTACGTGTCCACTGCTTGGCTACACAGGCCTGTGCAAGAGACACGCAGGTTCTGGTGGACGAAGTGGCACTGGAAAAAGTTCCTTCGGCTTTCTCTAGCTAATCATTACTTGACCACTCCTCCACGCTCATCTGTCATGCAGTGTGACATAGCCCTGACCAGGCACCCCCCGCCCTCTTTCGGTCTGTACAGAATGGAGCGCTCACCGCAGTCTGCGTCCTTCTCGTCCAGTTCGGCTGCTGGTTGCTTCCGGTACAGGTGGTCCCAGAAGCGCGAGCCTAGCACATCAGCTGAAATCAGACAAAGCAACAGCTGCATGAGACAGCAACTCCTGGTAGAACAGCTTCCGGTCACTGTACGGAGCTAGACAATCAGTTTAGCCCCTCAGAACACAGCGGTAACGATATGCACCATCTGCTTAAAGAATTCTGCATTCTGCCCACAGAGTGTATCTGTGTTCCGTATGGCTCTCACAGTAAACAGCGACTGTTTCCCTACACAGCTTTAACCGGTTGGGCTCTGTAGCGGAGACGTAATGTTTCCTGTGAGGTACGGACTGAATCTTTGTAATATTTTCACTTTAAGTCAGAAACTTTCCTGCAACTCCATGGACAAGGGGTGCAGAATTTTTAATTATTTATTGGCGCTTCTCAATCAGTCCGAAAATCAGAACTCCACACCCCTTATTTACACTCGTTCACAAAACTTGCTGTCTAACACGAATAAACAATTCGTTCATGAGTTCCCAGACCATTGAGCATTGCTCAGGCCCTCAGTGACTTCTGTTCTTGAAACTGACGTAGCAGGCCGTTGGGTCGGTATGTTCGCCCCGCCTCTCAAATTTATCTTTCTCCCTCTTAGCATGAGCAATCGTGAATCTTTCAAAGTGACAACGAATATTCGTGAAACGAGAACAGAGAAAAGTAACTCTTCCATAACATTGAAATGTTTCGTTAGTCATCCGAAGTTTACTCGTACAGAATAAGCAGATCTTTGTGACACTGAGCTGTAACGTGGCACGGGCAGGGTCCTTGGGCTGCTGGCTAGAAGTCAGTTTGCATCCGGAAGGTCCCGCGACCGGCCAACTCGATGGAAATTTTCAGTGGTTTCCCTCCGTACTTGAGTTTGCGCCCTAATTTCACATCCCATGTCATGCTTCTCACGCAGCTGTACCCCCTCCCCTCCACCCTGACGTGCCTTTGCGAATTCTAAGTCCATAAACTTTTAGGTTCCCACAGCGGTGGTTGTGAAGAGTTCCCTCTTCTGGGACATAACTCTTGGAAATTTAATTCCGGTACTAAGAAGTAAGTCCCCTGCTAAACTCCTTTCCTACCCACGCAACTAAATCCACTTTCCAACGCTTTACCTTCCCTCCAACCTACGTTTTCCAGAGGGGTGACCGGGCACTGCCTAGGAACCTTCAAAGCCGGCAATTTTTCTGGTTCCCCGCGCAAAGTGCGGTGTCTGTTAGTCTCTCTCTGCAGGCTTCAGGGGCCTAAGTAAATTCCGGACGTGTTTATGGATAGCTTCCGCCACGTTATTGCTCTGGGAGTTACAGAAGTGCTATATACAGGACTGCTCACTAATGGAAATTCGAAAGATCGGTAATCGATTCTCGTGGAAACACTTCCTCTTGCCTTGTGGGTTTCCCTGTCCTACCTCCATGATCTGTGCGGTGTCACAAGAGAACGTAATCTTTTCGAACCCGGGACTTCAGCTGTTACATGTGTTGTTCATTTGTATTGTAATTAATTTAGTGACACTTCATCAGGTGCATCGGATATTTCATTTTGTTCATTTCCTTTATATGCAAAAAGTAATGAAAGTTTGAAATGAATGCTTTGATGTTACTAAATTTCTGGTAACCACAGCAAAACAATTCCGGACGTGAACCCGTTGTGTAAACGTTAGTGTTGTAGTGGCTCACCGTCGATTGAGCAGCCTACCATTTCAGTGTATCGTGTATATTATATGAATATTGATAATATTTTGATGTAAATATGTGAAGTGTAGTACCGTATATAAAGGACGCTGTTTGCGATTGACTGTTTGTGCGTGTTATTCTTGGGAGATGGGAGGTTAAGGGCACAAAAGCTTCTATAACTTTCCTGCTGAATTCTGAACGGGTGTTTCGGCAGTACGGTTCGCCTGATGACGCTGCCAGTTGCACAGACTGTGTCGCGAAATTATTGCGTAATTAGAGAATACAGAATTGGGATCTGTAAGGAAACGGGCTTTGCCCGATTTAAGGAACTCTCTCAGCATTCTCCCGGAGGGACTGAGGAAGCCCATGAGAGCCCACAGTCAGGAGAGCCGGTCTCCGGGCAGAGATTTGAAACCAGACCCTTCCGAGGAGAAGTGACGGCCACATGACCACGGCGTTATGTGGCGTGATCATGAAATTGTATTCACGGGGATAGAGAAGTAAGCCATAGCATCCCTGTTTTAGTTTGGAGGGACTGAGGAAAACAACTAAAGCTCATGTTAAGAGTAGTTGTCCACCGACCGAGATATGAAACCGGGGCCTCCCAGATGTGAAGCAGAAACGTCACCTGCTGGGGCGATTAGAGCAACTAAATCTGTACCAAATGGCGCGATATTAAAGGGGGATTACGTGAGTTAATTAGGTGAAACAGATCTGCACATTGGGGGGGTTGGGGGGGCTGGAGAGCAATGGTATCACATTTTACCACTCGCTGTAACATTATGTAACGCGACACAATATGGTTCTCACGGTAAATAGCGATTATTTCCCTAAACGGCATTAACCGGTTTGTCGTCGTTATGGAGACGAAGTGTGTTTTCTGTGAGGTAGGAACTGCATTTTTAAATAACATTTCGATGCCGGGCTCCCAGCTAGAAGTCAGTTTGCATCCGGAGTGTCCTGCGACCGGCCAACTGGATCAAGGTGTTCCGTGGTTTTCCTCGATCCTACAGCAAATGTTGAGTTGGTACCCAAATTCCTACATTGCAGTGCATGATTCATGAGCGGCCCTTCCAGTAACATGGTCATTTTGTTCTTGACACAGTCATCATCCACATCCTCCTCCTTGTTTAGCTGCATGGCCATAGAACGGTTCACTTCCCACCGCTTTACCTCTTTTTCACCTTGCGTAACAGAGGGACACGCAGGCACTGCCTGAAACCTCCAGAGTCGAAATTGCTTCTGTCAGTGTACAGCATAAAAAAGATGTCTTTGGAGCTTGAAGCCAAGTCATCTCTCCCGCCTTCAATCAGGAATTACGTGGAGGTATAAACAAGCGGAATTAGTGGTATATGGGTTTAATTAAAGCAGCCATGAGGTTATGGAAGGCGCGCTAAAGATATGATTAACCGAGTGAGTTTATGTATCCACCTCGATAAGTCGTTGTGTCAAGTGCTGAGAATTGAGGCATGAAATGGGGAGATGTTGGTATTGGGGTTTATATTGCAGAAGCTAGTATCTTCTGCCCGCAGTATGCCACACTGTGGAAACTTCAGACTTTAGTACAAATGTTGATAGCATCATTAAAATCACATCAGCCTGCTGAAGGAAATATCATTAAAATACAAGACAAAGTTCACTGAAACAGACCAAGTGCGCCCACATTCCGCAACGAATTTGTACCGTTCGCGTCAAATGTTAGGAGTCACATGCCTTCTTAATATTTCCGTGTTCGGCTTAATATTAACTAAAAAACTATTATCATATGATCGTCGTCTTCTGCATTGTGACACCGTGTAGTTTGTTATCATTAATACGGGGTAGCACCAGGTTCCTCCGAAACGTTAGTAATAACTTACCAGGTTACATGTGACATAACCTAGAAGTCTACAATCTACACCATCAGAGTTACTTTCTTGTTTGTGCTAGTCACGTAAATAAATCAATTGTTCTGGTGCGAGCAGCTGTGTGCGGACGCGCATTGTCTTGGAGGAGAATTACACCGTATGTCAGCATTCCATGCCTTTTGTTCTGAATTGCCCTACGCAGTTTTATAGTGTTTCGCAGTACAATTCTGACGTTATTGTGCTCCCTTGCTGCATGAATTCCACCATCAGCTCTCCTTTCCTGTCCCAGAAAGCAGCTGCCATCAGCTTTCTAACAGGCAACGTTTTAAAGTTTTTCGGCTTGTTTGGTGAATGTGTGCATCCACTGCGCCGACCGCTCTTCAGCTTTAACATTCACAAATGAACCTCCGGTCTTATTGCCTGTTACTCGTTCGAATTGATGGAGAATTACATTGCCCTGTTTGTGGTATCGCTCGAAAAAGTCAAAGCGGAAGCCGTTCTCTGCGTGTTTTGCTCCTCGGTGAGCATTTTCGGAACCCATGTTGCGCAAAACATGCGGTAGCCTAACTTAACTGATGATCTCATAGAGAACAGTGCGTGAAATTTGTAGAAATTCACATGAAAATTCTGAAATTGTTTAGCGCCGTCTTTTATAAATTTTTTGGTCAACAATTTGAATGAGCTCACCATTCACTACAGATGGTCGATCGGCCACTTCACCCTTCATCGTAAACATTTGTTCTCCCATCTTTGAACATCCTGCACCACTGTCTTGCAGTTCCCTCACTCATTATACTTTGGCCATAAAGCGCGCATAATTCAGGGCGGATTTCCGCAGCACTCGTGTTGTTAGCGTGAAGAAAGGGGTAACAGCGCGAATTTCGGAGTTGACGGGATTATCAAAAGCAGGACACAGCATAACTCACTCTGTAGCGACAAGAACAAACACTAGATGACCAGTTGTATGATGATTTACGAGGCAACAAGTCATGTGATGCTACCTCGCATGCGCGAGCTGTTCCTCGCTCATACATAACTTGCCTAAAATAAATGGAGAACCCTCATACTGATATGAAACAAAACAAACAATAATCTCTGGTGCTTTAGTCCACAAGTGAACTATACCGACTGAGCGACCGCCGCTTGTCGGCGAAGTTAGTGCCAACTTTAGCGGATAGAGGGTGTCGCGTGGTCAGCGCAACAAATCCCCACGGTCGCTATTTTTCGGTTTTCTGCACCGGAGCCGCTACTTCTTCATTCATGTAGCTCCTCAATTACCTTCACGAGGCTTAGTGATCCCCGTTCCAGACCCACTACTTCTCAGAAAATGTGGTAGCGCAGGGAATCGAACCCGGTACCTCTGGATCTGTAGCAAGGAACCCTGACCACTAGACCACAGAGGCGGTCTTACTGATATGGAATAGAAGGCACACTAAGGTTCGTTAAATTCAGTCAATTTCTTCTAAACTCATTACACATGGACATAAGACACTGGGGCATGCCACCTTCACACAGGAAC